ATCTTGATTCAATATTGCTTGTTGCCTGCAGTCTGTGAATGTCATCATGTTGCCAACAAAATCACACAACACTGTTTATCCTGGCATAACAACACATATTTATAAAGCTCTACATTGTGCACATGAAAAACATGAAATACTTTAATGACCAACTTTAATATTATAGACTTCAAAGGGCACATTTTATTTATGCGATTCCATCCAGCCTTAAAACTGTAATCACTTATTTTTAAATGTCGGTGTGATTTTATTTTTAAACATAAAGCAAGACAGATCCATGTCCAGACAGAAAAAATGAAGCATTGTGCTACTTCTCATTTTAGAATTTAATAGACAGCATTGTTCTTTGTTCAAATACAACTTACGTAATCTAGTTATAATAACCTTTTTGAATGGTTTGCAATAATTTAATTACATTGCAACATTAAAACCATATTCCTTGCACAAAAGTAGCTTTTTTTTCGAAAAGGGGCAGTTAGTGCTGACATATGATGAGGGCTAAATTTAAACTGTAAATTAACACAACATACTGAAATATGCACATATATTCCTTTCACCGACTTTTGACAAAAGAGTGGTAATTGGAATGTTTTAAATGTCAGCCCAATAAATGAAAAAACACAATTCGAATTTGGAGTTAAAATTTTACAAATGCAAGTCAATGTCAACATTACATTTATAAAGCTATTTTTACACATAGCCACAACATGGTTTATACACAAAACAGCAGAGAAAATGCCACATTATACAGATGTTCCATTACATGTACCTTAAAGGTCTGTAATGATGTAAATTTCTGTAATTTCTCATGTGAATTGAGAGTACACGTGTAAGCTAAAAGCTTGTTTTACCAATGTAAGCTTTAGCAAATGTATAGGTGCCATTCATTAAAATTTACACGTGACTATCTGAAGTGTATTTTCTACAAAGGCCACAGGTCAGAGGTCACAATATGCATGGGGGACACAAGTCAAACTTGCAATCACCAAGTAACTACTCACAGTACATGGTGTCAACAATTTAGCCTTAACTGAGAGTAGAGTATCAAGAGATCTCATTGCCTGCACTGGCTGATTACCTGCAACACGGCAGCTTGCTGTTGCTGTTGAAGAGCTGCCACCTGCTGCTGTTGTTGTTGTTGCTGCTGCTGCTGCAGAACCGCAGCCGTCTGTGCGATGGGGTAGGCGGCGGTGGCCTGAGTGCCCATGCCGGTGGCAATTCCCACCGATTGCTGGCCATAGAGAGCAGGCGACACGCCCAGAAGCGAAGTCTGTTGCTGCAGAGCTGCAGAGAGCATGCCCGCGCAGTGTAGGTCATTCGTGATACTTGATCACACTTCACCACGCTGGTTATTGTAGGTGTGTGAAGCCGGGGAGCATAGAATAAGAAAGTTTCGACCAAAAATGTAAATATGCTGCACATCCCTCTGCTGACAATGTAGCTCCACAATTAGCTTATGAAATATCTTTTATGCATGCGAGTCACCCATCCAAACACTATCCAGGAGCAACTCATTTATATATTACAGAAGTCCTCTGCGACCTGTCACTACCCTTAAAAACACTTCAATGATAATAATGCAAATGTTTCTCACTAAGGAACAGTCAAAAAGCAGATTATGATACCATCACAAGGCAGTGTGAATAATGAATATGGCGGGTTATTTGTCCCGGCTAAAGTGTGCACATAAGCATGCATACAAGCTTGCGTAATACGAAACTCATATCCCGATGGGCCAACAGTACATATTACTAAGGTTTTTTTCAGTTTCATTTATTTATTGGGTATAGCCTTGTGAGCCATTTGGCTCTTGAATCGGGTGCAGCTGCAACAAACAGAAACATGAACAAGAAAACATCTTAAAGTGTTGATAGAAAACATACCAAGTTATCTACAGAACACAAAAAAACGTAATTAATAAAAGCACCACACATTGAAAAATATAATGCTCATGAAAATTTGTTTTGAAAGTGACCGAGAATTTTGTGGGTATACAAATAAATAATTACATTCCATAAATTGGATTCTTTATTGCTGTACAGCAATATCGTATTGGTGGAATTAATGGAAAATGACACAATGTGTCTGCACGTGCAAGTGTATGGAAAAACAGTAAATATGTAAACAGGTACACACAAAGACCTCAGTGAACATATAAAATTCACTGTTTTTGTCCAGCTCCGTATTTTTCCAAACACGGGAGAAGACAGACCGCCTGCCCCACACGTGTCTAGAGTGAATAAAGTCACTTGCTCTGCGATGGCTCAAAATCTCACCACTGTGGCTCTCGATGGCAAGAGGGACGAAGGGCCATCGCTGTGCTTCTTATTAATACCATAATACTGGAGTGTGCCGGTGATGCACTGCCCTAGAAGTCCTGTTGACCAGAGTTCAATTCCCACCACGGTTAACATCTGTGGTGAATGATATCTGAACTGGCCATACTCACAAGCTACGTGCAATATGGTTAAGCAACCTCCATAAACAATACTGTGCGGGGAGACCTTTATCCGGTAGAGGATTATAATTAGTGCTCATTAAATAAAACAAATGTAAAACAATGTAAACACAAACGGTGACATTACGACGATAAAGCACACACTTACAGGGTTGGGGAACGCCGGTAGAAAACTGCGTTGCCCACGGAGGGTTCTTCTGTCCTCCATACTGCGCCATTGTCGTCGAAGACTTTCTGGCAAAGACGTGACTTGCAAGCACAACACAAAAAGAAATCGGTGAATTCCACTTGATATTCTTTTGTATTTTTGTGTCTAGCTCTACACTGCTGGGGTGCCACGGTGACGAGATGTTAACTACCTCGCCTGGTATGCAGGAGGTAGTAGGTTCGAACCTGACCCTGGCGTCTGTATATTTGGAGTTTGAATGTTTTCCCCGTGGTTACGTGGATTTTTATCCGGATCCTCCGGTTTTTTCCTCCACATTTAGAATCAACATGCCTTTAAGAGTATTTGACTGCTTTACATTTCGCCATAAGCCACTTCGTTAAGCTATCATTTGTGGCCAGGTCGCTTCTGAAAAACAGCTATATAGCTCTGTGGGTCTTACCTGGTAAGATAAAAAATTGTTTAGTTTCGTTTTAATAATGTAATAAACTACTCTACAAACTATAACACTGCGAAAGGGAATTAAGCAATGAAATTGTAGTTGTGGTTTGTTGCCTTTTGCTGGATGTTGTCATCAGGAGTGCCATTACAGTGGTGGTAAAACCCTGGGAGATTTAATAATGATGATAACGACGAGGGCACATTACCCGCATTTAACAGCAATGTTGCAAATCAACATAACCGTATGTACAAAAATAAACAATTTCCTGCTGTGCCCAAAGTTGGCACCTCATGCTCGTACTGCCTAGATAATTATATGAATGCCTATGCATTACTTTAACTAAAGTGCAATGTTAATAAATGCCACTCTCGATGGTGTAAATGATGAAATGACACCGTTCATGAAATGCAATCCAATGGCTTCCCAAATAACATACGTATCGACTACGTAGGTGTCTTACCCCACCTTCAAAATATCCGTCATGGCCCTGACATAGATAACCACTGACATAATTGCAGCTTTATCTCACACAATACATGCTTCAATTCTAATCACAGTTCACGATACAGTAGCCTCGTTTCCATTGAAAAATCTCAAAGAATTAGTCGTTATGTGCACGTAAAGTTGATACAAAGCTACGTGGTTTCTTTTGGGCTAATAACCCTGTTTACAAGAATGTATGCACCCAAAACATTGACTTTGCACGAGGTGGCAAATCGAAATTTATGTAATTTTAAGTACCATTCGGTATTCTGCGCACATTGTTTGTGACACCATTTCACGACAGTACACGCACGACACGTTAAATAACTTTGCAATAATGTCCGTAATTTTGACTGTTTAATACAAAGCACCTACTTAAGCCCTCGAGAGCCTTCGTCCAGAAATGAATTAACCGAGGCTCACGATCTAAGGCCCTCACTCAGCCATTGGTGCAAATTCGACATTCCTATGACAGGCACCACGTCGCACCGGTGCTGCTCCACAATGTACCCATTTGATCGATTTCAGAGGTTTTAAATAATTCTACAATCGTGTATAGTCAAGCACGTTGCCCGAGGTAAAAAAAAACTATGCTTCTCCGCTCAATCGGGCAATGGCGTACATAATATCATAATCCAGCAATGTGAATTCCATATTAAACACGGGCAGGTCCATTTTCCACGCAGACAACCACTGTCCACAACTGGCTCTCTCGTCCTTGTGTCGCGTGCACAATCGCTTCGGCGATGCATTATAACCATGTTCATCATCATCAACTGCAGCAGCAGCGAGCAGTCAAGTCTACCGCTCAACGCGGGCCTCGCCAAGCCGCCATCGTTCACGACGCTGTGCGATGCAACAACCAACCCGCCGAGCACCGCTCGCAACACACACGGCCTCGTCGCATCATCACTGCCCCGTGTCGTCATCGATGCTGGTGGTCCTTCTCAATACGCCTTACACATTCCTCTCTCCTTTTTAGATTTTAGTCGTGGGTGGCGCGTGGGTTGTGGGGAGGTTAAGGCCGCGCGGCCTACAGCCCGGGCCTCGCGTTTCAAGCCCGACTCTGGCCACCACCAGCAGCAGCATTGACGCGACCCGAATCACTTCAACTCACCTTTTTTGTTGAATAAATATTATTAGGCGCAACTCGAAGTTGAACTTTGCATTGAAATTATAACAAAAAGATAGAGAGTAATCGCTCACTCGTACATTTGTTGTTGCTGTCTTTAAACAACAAAACCATCCCCGACCACCGCGCTCTCCCGCTAAGCGGCAACTCCGAGCGATTGAATCTCCCAGCGCGCTTCGGCAGCGGGCCTGCCGTGAGCCGCTCCGATTGGCCGACAGCAGCGGGCCGCGTGTACGAGCGACGGGTGGTGGGGGGACAACGGCGCTTATTAGCCGTGGGGAATCGGAGGCGGTGCGCGTGCGGTAATTGCGGTTGTGGGGGGGACGGTTACCAACCCGGTTTCGAGTGTGTGAATCCCCACCACTTTTGTAAAACCTCCAAATATTTCGCGGACCAAACCACGCGCTGCTAGTTATGTGACATTGTGTATTAGCCTTGGTGAGGATGTTATTTTTATTGTTCCGCGAGCCACCAGGGGACGGGTGTCCGAGAGGCACATGTTGGGAAACGCTGGCGTTACGGAATTTGTGTGAGCACGTGGCGAGTGTGTAGGTTCGGAACGCGCGCTTCAACCCCCCCAACACGTGTCCCAACATCCACGTGTTCGGAATACTCTACATATTCTTTGGGTCTTTCGGCGAAATCTACGTGGCTTTACCGAAAGACTCAAAGAATATGAATTCCTGCAGTCACGAAAGCTTGAAGTCAAGATTTATACTCTACATACTTTATATACATAAAAGCATAGGCTTTATACCCTTTGCTGCAATAATACAGGCGTTAAGATGCTTAAACATCGAATGGACACCTATTGCAAGGCATCAAGTCTGCATTCGTCACACATGCTTATGGTAAAACATGCAAACGAACTTGGTTGATAATGATCTGTATGCATTGTCGTTGAAACTGATTGGCCGATACAAGAGATAGCCTCTTTGGCAGAGAACGCCAACAGGCGAACGGGACAACGGCAATACGATACCAAGTATCTTTTTCAAGGGAGACTTGGAATACAGTCATAAGTCAGTCTACCCTGCCTACCCAAGCCCATACCTGTCAACCCATACGGGTTAACCCTTATTCTTGTATAAGGAAATTTAGTTTTCAGGTCCATGCGGCGTACAGCCGTTTCAATACGGGCAAACGTTTTGTCTATTTGTGTTTCTCCCTTGTGATGGGACTTTGTAGGATGAACATTGAGATTCATAAGGGGCACGGGGTGACTAATAAGTTCTGAATTGGTCTGTGATAAGGTAGGGCACTGATAAGAGGTTGACAGGTGTGCAAGCCTGCCTTGCGATGCTACAATCTATAAGCACGTGCGCACGAGCTTCATTACATCGCTCTATCTCCGCGGCGGATGTCATCTCGGCCGCGTTCTCTCTTCACCTTTGGCTAGAAACTCCCGTCATTTGGTCTCGACCACCGGTCATCGTCCCTTTTAGCCGTGTCCTGCCAAAGTCAAAGTCAATAAGCGGTCAAATACGAAGTCTCTCCAACTTGCTCTACAATTCACGTGGTTCCTCCCCTAGTCTCTTTCGAGCGTAATCCAAGGCGCGGAACTGCTTCGCGCACGTCCACACGTTTGTGAAATGCTTATCCGTTGTCTTGTGTTTCTGAGCCACAGTGTCACGTGTCGTAGCGGGTAAAATTCAGTGATGAAAACTTAATCATTATTCAGGCACAATTGTTGGGGTGTTGATTTGCAACACTTTATTCAGTTTTCCAAAATCACAACCTTGCACAAGAAGGCAAACGGCCAGTAACGTTCACTCGGAGACAACAACGCACGGTGAGGATGTTCATCGTTACAGGAAAACATTCAGTTTTTCTCTCTTGATTTGAAGCTTTCGTGAATGCAGGAATCCACACTCTTTGGTTCTTTCGGTAAAGTCACGTAGGTATAAAAAAAATGTTTAAAAGTCCCATCACAAGGGAGAAATTTGTATTTAATTTTATTTTATACCTACGTGACTTTACCGAAAGAACCAAAGAGTATTTAGTCTTCTGTTATATCATCCAGAAGTTTATTGACCGTTATTCGTATTATTTAATACATTACTGGAATAGGAAACATCAGTAAAAGGTTACATTATTACCGTAACATACTTTCAATTAGCATAGATTATTGGATGGAGTATATGAAATAATGATTCATTGACTTATCTGTTATCTATTCTTAGGGCTCAGGTTTTTTTGGGTTAGATCGTGTAAATATATAAATGTGTCGTTAAAACCCGCCACCACCCGACATAGCCAACTAGTAAGGGTTGTCACGTCAACATAACGTGGCCAATTCGTCACTAGTACAGCACACCGGTGTGTTGGAGAGCCAAGCCACAACATTTACAATCCGAGTACGACGTTTCACCAGTGATTACAACTAGCTTCATCAGGCGACAGCCAGATTTGTGGAGAAGTCCTCCTGTTTCGTTCCTTATATAAAGGCGTAGATGTGGTGACCACGCTTCTGCGCTCTTGCACATTTATATATTTACGCGATCTAACTCGAAAAACCTCTATAATGGATGATATTGGTCGCGAAATCCTACGTGTTAAACCGAAGTATGTAGCATCACCGTATCATCAATTCATATGGTTATACGATAACGCGCATTTTGTATTTGTCTGGAGACGCATTTTTTTGTTACCTGTGGCACAGCACGCGAAGAGGTGCAGGGTAATAATGTGTGTATGTATATTATTTGTTCTTTCGGTAAAGTCACGTAGAACCTGCAGTCACGAAAGCTTTAAATCATAATGTGTGTATATATTCTTGGTTCTTTCGGTAAAGTCACGTAGAACCAAGAATATGAATCCCTGCAGTCACAAAAGCTTTAAATCAAAATGTGTGTGTATGTTGAACTCCATTCGCACCGTACGTAGCCAACCGTGCTAATCGGATGCGCGGGAGAGAGGGACAGCAATCTCGACTTAAAAGTTATCGATCGAGAGAACGTATGGAAAAGGGGGGAAGAGAGGAGAGCTCGGATGGGAAATCATGTGAAAGGGAACGAAACGAAAGGTGAGCATAAGGAGGAAGAGGCTTATATAAGGGCCACCAGCTGAACGGAGTGTGTTTTCACAGAGGGTTGAGGGTTGGGGATAGGCTCAGAGTGGTGGGAGACCACACACAAGTCACGGCATGTACGGGAGGCTTGAGATGATTTAGATATCTAGATCGGGAGGCGTGAGCCAAAGGGATTTTATGTCCCGAAGGTGCAGACGTAGACCGGCGGCGGAAAATAAAGTCTCGTGCCTGGATTTTAACACATGTGGTGTATCTTGCAGTGTGGTCACACACGGGCAGCAGTGGAGAAGGAGCAATCTCTCATCGACTGGAGCTTTTAACAAGAGGTGGTGTTGGACTGGCATCGCGAGCGTAGCCGCATCTAAAAGTCTAATACCAACAATTGCAGCAGGTGGCTCCACTTTAATAGGCACTGTTTTGATGTTTGTCTCACTTGGGTTGTACAGAAGGAAATTGATTTATCAATAGGCTTGATTTTACCAGCTAAAAGCTCATTGATACTTCAACGACACCACCTCTTCAAGTCTATATTTGAAAGGTGGCCTGGACCAACAAGTGACAACCAATGAAGACTTAACAGCTGTTTACTCCATTTGTAACACAAGTAAACTTAGACTACTATTCCCACAGATTTGTGACGAATCTAAACCGAACCTAAACCCATACCCCTAATCCGTAACCATAATTGTAACTCGAAACCCTACACCCAGACCCCTAACTACTAACCCTGAACCATATACCGAAATCTTAAGTGTAACACGACTTTAACCCCTGAACCATAACAGTGACACCTAAGCCCTGAACCCTGATAAACACCTAACCATAAACTCTAACAATAAACCACAACCATAACCCGTTAATCATACATGAAAACGAAACAAGTGGCATCCCTTCATTTCGCGAAGACAGTGAAACCCGAGGAAGGTCTGTGATATAAATATAACCTTGTTTATGATTGGATATAAACAAAAAATCCGGTGGCAGAAGTCACTTCCAAATAAATATTGTCCTATTTAGCTCTTGCCTTAATATAGGTTTTTTGGGTTAGATCGCATAAATAGAAATTTGTCGTTGAACCCACCACCCGATGTAGCCATTTAGTAAGGGGTTTGTCACGTAAACAGAACATGCCAATTCGTTACTAGTACAGCACACCGGTATGTTGGAGAGCAAATCCACAGCATTTACAATCTGAATACGACGTTTCGCCAGTAATTACAACTAGCATCATCAGGCGGACAGACAGATTTGTGGCGGACATCCAGCTCTTGCCTAAGAGCAAATGAATCAAAGATGCACACATACTTCAGTACAGTACTTGTGTGGGTGAAGTGGCTGGTGGAGTGGTTAGCGCGCGCGCCCCGCGTGCTGTGAACCCGGCAACGTGAGAGTTTGATTACCGGTCGTGGCTAACATCAGTGGCCCCCTCCACCGACTGGCACTGACCAGCATGGTGAAGTATGGTGAAATAAAACCCCCCGTGAGGCCTACGTCCAACAATGGATTGATAAGGCCATGTGCATTTTAGACAGTACTCCTACATGTGAGTGTGTGTGTGTATTAAGGTATGCCAAATCATGTCTTTGCTATGGAACTTATTACCAAGCAATGCTGCTACCAAGGCAACAGAGCCACAACAAGGCAGACCTATTGTTACAACAACCATCACGGCAGTGGCAACTTAACTTCCCCGATGCTGTCACGTTTAAAATGTGACCACCGCTACAGCAGCTACAGCTAAAGTGTATATATTGTCGTGCTCTACTTGCTGTCCTTTGGCATTCCCTCTTGTGGCATATAAAAGGTAAGTACAGTTTTAACCTCAACCATTGACCGCTGCTCAGTAATACCTGGGGATCTATAATACTTTGAGCTTCGTATTGCACAGTTGCATTGTGTATTTACGGCATGTACGTACACGTGCAGCCCTTTTGTCAATCTACTGCTGGATGAGCGCCTCCCCAAGCTGAACGGGTTGTGAGGATTATTTAACGATAGTTCACGCTGGTCAATGTTAACGCTGTAGGGGGAGATCTTTGTAAATATATTAACTGTACCATATATATGCATGTGAGTGCTTGTGTGTGTATATATTGCGAGTGTTTGTGCGCGTGGCGACAAGGGTCGCACACAGCCCAGCCATGCCGAGCGACGGTAAAACGGACATGGAGCGCGTGGGGCTCTTCAGCGAGCTGGGCTACATCAGCATCGGCGACAAATACAAGTCCAGCTTCAACAGTGCGTGCCACTCGCTCGCTCACTCACATCACAGGTCACACTCATTACTCACATTTGCTTGCCACAAGTGAACCACAACACCTTGCTGATCTCGTAAAGGAGCATAAATCACCATCACCCGAACTCCGGTGGTTATCCTCGCAACAGCGGCTTTTGGCCGGCCATCGAACAAAGGCGGTCACTACATCGCGCGCTTTCAGATGTGCTTCAGCGGTCGTCTGGAACGCCCTTCCCCTTTCGATATTAGGAAGCCACTGGAGCTATGCACTGTTAAATCTAGATTGAAAACTCATTTCTTGATAACTGCTATTTGTGTTTAGTTTGTTGTCCTTCCCCCACACCTCCGATTAGCACGATTGGCTACGTACAGTGCAAAAGAAGTTCAACATATATACATGGCTTTGGGATAAAAGTTGGGGAAATTACAAAAAACTTCGCAGTGCCAGCGCCTCGTTTCTGCTGTTCCCTTGAGTTGACTCATCTCTCCCTCTGGCCTCTCTCTCTACTTTCATCTCTTCGTCCGCATGATGGCTTCTGCACTCTTTAACTACACGACCTTTATTTGACACTTGCATGCATACATACACACATATACACACACAGAACCCTTTTTGTGAGTCCACTGCTGGAGGAGGGCCTCCGCACGCTGTGCATCATGGGGATTGTTATTTGGCACACTGACCACACAACGATCGTACTGGTGAGTGAAGGTTGGTGAAGTCGGGTAGTGGGGGGGACTGAGGGGGATAATGTTGGCCACAGCTGGGAATCAAACAAAGATATAACCAGGTTCAGAGCGAAGTGAATTAGACACTCAAATGGCCAGGCGTGGTGGTGTAACGCTACCAACCAGCACTGCTCTATAGCTGGGTTTAGTGGAATCGTACAGAGATTGTGATACGCATTAGGCACCTTCCTGCATGGCTTTGAGGTTTCGGGTGAATGGCAGTACAGCAAGTAGATTTTTGACCCTTGTTAGTTCCCCTTCCAGGTGTGTGGATTTCCTCTGGGCACTCCGGTTTCCTCCCATGTAACCAAAAAGACACTCCATCAGGTGAAGATGCAGCCCGGTAATTAATTGCTCACACCACTGCTGGTGGAAAGGCCTTCACGAAAGGATGCTCTAGAGCCCCTCTAGAGGGTATTTAGCGTACTCTTCCATGATGACCATACGTCTTGGAAGAGATGGGAGTACCCACACTTTACCCCACCACACGCGACGTGCCAATCAACGCACTGCAGCGAACTCATGTATACTGCTGGGTGTACAGAGGTGGTGGGGAGGGGGGGATAAAAACAAAACTTGCTCTATTGTTTCAACTGCCACGCTGGGAATTCGAATCAAACCAGCAACCTCTGGGTTACACGTCCAGTGTGCTACCCATTCCTCCAATGTCGCAGCGGTGCCTATTCGCGGTGGTTGATGCGGGCGGTGGGCCCCTGCTGCGTGCCCAACAGAGGCGTTCAACGCGGCGGCCAACCGCGGCCGCCAGATGCTGACGGAGGGACCCAAGTCGCGCTCAGCGCTCCCGGCCGGGTACTTCTCGCAAGGGTTCACACGCGTCATGCAGGGCGAGGCCTACAGCGACCCTATCAAGATCCGCCGCCAGCGGCGCCTGCAGGAGGCCAAGAAGAACCTGGGGAAGGCCCTGCTGCCGAGCAGCTGCCCCAAGAAACCGTGAGTCTCTGGGTGGTCGAGGCAACGTGGGCCGTAGAGCTGGAATATAACCGTGCGCTCAGTGGCGTAGCTGTTGAATGTGCAGGCCGTGCAACTGCACTGGGGCTCATGGGCCAGAGGAGCCCAGGCACCTGGGCTATGAAGAGGAGGTGAAATTCGACAGGGAACAGAGTTCGTTACTTATCACTCCTTACAACCGTGCCACAATACTACATACGTTTATTCATCTGGTGATGTCATGCCGTTGTTTAGTCCATGTGAACGACTGGGTAGTTCTGATAGCTTAAAATACTTGTACGAATTTTATGTGTAACGAAAATGTAAACAATTAGAATCATAGAATTTATATATTACCATATTTTTATTGAGAGACTTTGTGTTGTCTTAGTATGATCTGCAACTGCTTTTACTGTTGTTTTACTGCCTTACCCAAGCTTAGGAATTGGTGTACTTATGCAATTTGAACTTATATACTTTCTCTATTTATATGTATTTATTTTTAGTGATTTGCTTACCTTACCTATACTTTACACTCCTATTGTTTTTTTTATTGTTGTAACTTTCTGACCCCGCACCCCAACTGAAAAAGAGCTTTGCAGCTCATCGGCTTTCTCCAGGATTAATAGATTCTGACATGAGACCCCGTGGCGGCTAAAAGTCACTTATTTTCAGAATAACCCTGTGTCAAACAAAGTAAACACCTTAACAATTATAACGATGTCAGAGCTCTGTCCCACCAGTGTGTGAGATCCAGAATTTAATATTTTTGGCCAGCCGCCAAGACGGTCAGCTGACATTTTACCAATGTGGTAAATGTAAAAAAATGTGGTAAATGTGCCGTTACGATATCGTTGATGTTCAATCTTGGTTTTAAGCTTTCGTGACTGCAGGAATCCATACTCTTTGGTTCTTTCGGTAAAGTCACGTAGGTAGCAAAATAAAACAAAAAATTATATATCACGACGTTTCGATCACAACACAAGCGGTCGTCTTCAAGCGGAAAAAAAAATCCAGCAGTAGAACTGCTGAACCGATAACCTGACCGCTTGTGTTGCGATCGACACGTCGTGATATATTATTTTTTATTTTATTTTTCTACCTATGTGACTTTACCGAAAGAACCAGAGTATCGTTGATGTTATTAAGTAACCTACGCTGTGTGCACAGGTCTGGGCTGGGCAGTTATTACGGCACGCTGGGTGGCCCGATCCCAGCCTTGAGTCCAGCCCAGCTCCCCAAGAAGCCATACAGCGCGCCGGGGAGGAACTTTGTCACGAACCCACCGAAGAAAGGAACTGGATATGGGTACGGATGGACAAGTGGGCAGTTGAAACCAGATTTTTTTTTCCGTGTTGCACCTCATCGTCTCTCAGTAAGGTATTGTTTAAATACCCTGAATGTTCTTTAATTTGTGTTTTCTGGAAGATTGAAAAGAGGAAGACGGAAGACCTAGGACTAAGAAGGTGGTAACAGATAGAAGGTTGAGGGAACTTCGGCGGACAGCACAGGCGGATATGCATAATGCTGCCTGGCGATGAGGGGTTTTTTTTCATGATAATTTTAAGTTTTGGTGAATGAAAGCCTCTTCAGGTGGACTTTTTGGTCATTGTAGCTTTGTGGCTACTTAAACTTTCGGGAGTTGATCTGTTTTTTTCAAGTAGTGGTATCCCAAACTTTCACAGCTGCTTATTTCTCTCCACTCACTCACTCACTCCACTCACTCACTCCACTCCACTCACTCACTCCACTCACTCACTCCACCCACTCACTCCACTCACTCACTCCACTCACTCACTCCACTCACTCCACTCACTCCACTCACTTACTCACTCCACCCACTCACTCCACTCACTCCACTCACTCACTCCACTCACTCATTCCACTCACTCACTCTACTCCGCCCCCGCTGCTGGTCCGTCATGGTCCCCACCCGCTCCTGGTCCATCATGGCCCATGCACCTCCTACGTACATCATGCTAATTTTTATGCTAATTCCTTTGTCAAAGCGTTTTGCTTCCTCCCACACAGCTTAAAGGACGCGACCTGGGCTTGGCTGTTTTCTCTCCAACGCTGTCCTCATGACAGCACGGTCCCTTCACCTGATGAAGGCCACTTGTGTTGTGGCCGAAACGTCGTGATTTTTGTTATTTTATTTTTTACCTACGTGACTTTACCGAATAGAATCAAAGAGTATGGATCCTTGCAGTCACGAAAGCTTCAAATCTAGAATTGATCTGTTATGTTTAGACTCGAGGTGGTTTGCTCTCACGTATGGTGATGTGACTGCGGCTTTAATGTCCGTGAGACATTCAGATGGTAAGGAAAAAATGCCAAACGATTGCAACACTCAAATAGTTGAGTTTGTGACGGCTTGGCTAAGTAACAAACACACTTACCTCTTTGCTAACAAACAAACCCGTTGTGTACACGTACAGCCTTTGTGAACAGGCACAGCCTTTTTGTCAATCCACATCGTGCATGTGGTGGAGGTTATTCGACCATACATCACCATGCTGGTCGATGCGGATTGGCCAAGGCGGGGAGCATAGAAGTACAGTACAATTTTGACTTAAAAGCTTTCGTGACTGCAGGAATTCAGATTGAATTAGGTGGGTTACTGGTGCCCTGGGGCCAGCACAAGTGGAGATGGTTATGTTAATGTGGGAAATTAACAACTTGTTGTGCTTGTTGGGCACACTGCAAGTGCGGTGTGCTGGCCCCAGGGCACCTGTACCCCGCCCACTTCACTCTGACACTTACACTACGCCCGTCTTAAACCTTTAAAAACAGCTTGCCTTTTGGAGTTTTCCCCTCTTTTTTCCAGCTGAAGCCGGTCGCTTGTGTTGCGATTGAAACGTCGTGGTTTTTTGTTTATTTTTTATTCATTTTGAACCTATCTACGTGACTTCATTGAAAGACCCAAAGATTACAGTACAATTATTTTGCTGCACTGCCCTCTGCTGCCCACAGAACACCGTAGCGTATATCGACCTGTTATTCATGTTGGTCGTCTTTCCAAGCACTAACCAGGCTCAAATCTGCTTCGTTTTTGAGATCTGATTAAATCAGGCACATTTCAAGTGATTTGTACGGTTGGCTACGTACGGTGCGAAAGAAGTTCAACATACATACATTTGGTCATAGGCCATTTCTTGAAGGTGTCTCTGTGGAATGTAAATGTTCGTTTTTTGGTGACAGGTACCCCCAGGTGATGATTGGATCCCTGCCTCCATATATGCCGGACCCGTACGACCGCGCAAAAGAGATCCGCAGGGTAAGCAATTAAGTAATCGGTAACAAACGTTACCCTGTAGGTGAACTCTGGCTCCAACTGGACAACAAATTCTGGCTGAGTTATTCCAAAGAGCACATGTCACACGTGGCTGAGAGCTTATAACGATGCGTTACAAACCTCTTTTTAATTAATATCCCAATTGAATTGTCAGCCGCAAGTGAGCGAGTTGCTGTGCGTCACCTGTTATAAGAGGTTCAGCATAGCCTCATGAGGCACGCAGTGAACAAGTACATTCGGCTCACACGCAGATTTCTACGCTCGTTAGAAAATAATTTTCCAAATAAAACGCATTCTAAAAACAAACCCTAGGCCATGTGTTTCTATGCAACAGTGGTGCTTCGTCAGTCGCGGCACCGATTGGTGAAACATTAATCTGGAGGTCAAAGTTGTTTTCAGTATTCTTGCTCCTGTTTTGAGAATCGTATGGAAATTTACCAGCCGTTCGTTCATTACCCAGATGTAACGAAACCCACGGAACTCTCGGTGATGCAAGCTAAGGTACCGTTTGTGTGCGGGCACTCGCTGATGTGTGCCTCCTGGAATTGAGCCATGTTGATGAGGGTGATCCATTCATTGTACTTTAAAACAAATGCTAAAGACCTGCATGGTGATGAGACAATGAAAATTGTTTCATCACAATTGCTTGACTACCGTATTCTCCATATTATTTAGAGTATTTGGCTGCTATAAATTTCCACATGATGAGCCACTTAATTGGGCTATCATTTGTAGTCAGGTCGCTTCTGAAAAAGAGCTATATAGCTCAGTGGGCCTCATCTGGTAAAATAAAAATAACAAAGAAAGACCCAAAGAGTAGAGTAAAAATAGTTAAGTTATAAGACTCTACAGAAATTAAGATACACCCTAAGCTTGTGCACGTTCTCAATTTATGTCATAACAGTCTGATCTCAGGCACACAACTACCAGATTGGAAGACACCTGCCCAACTTTGTGCTCTGAAATACAGGGGAATGAGTGCCTCTTATAATCCAGAGAACACGACCTTCGATCACGAATCTGGAAAAGCTCATTCTCTGAAATCAGTACTCTATAGTGCCGATTTTCTCTTCTCTTGAACTTCTGGCGTTTGTAACTTAAACAATTAAACTCAACTATTAACCTATTTTTATTTTACCAGGTAAGGCCTACTGAGCTATATAGCTATTTTTCAGAAGCGACCTGACCACAAATGATAGCTCAACAAGGTTGCTTATAGCGTGGAATGAATTATTTTTAGTTTCTGTCTCATTTGTGCCATTTTCTTCACACTATGAACCTAAATGTGATTGTAGCATCTACTTTGCAAAAGTAGAAAATTACTTATTCTCATACCTACAATTCGAGCATGTGTATCGGGATTTGAGCCATCAATTCAACTCACATATCAATGCATCGTTACTTGCTGCAGCACCCTTTAACAGACTGTTGGGACAAGTTCTGTTAGCGAGTAGCACCTACGAAGGCCGGCACGGCACACGAGGGGGTGGGTGTCCCAACACCACGCAGGTCCACCTTTGTCTTCCCACTGCTAATGTTTACGCACCGCATCAGGTGGTCAAGGCCGGGTCGACCTAGGGAAGGCCTCTGGACCAGTTCAGATAATCGCCACTGCTATCAGTCGTGATCGTGAATCGAACTCGGGTTGCCGGGTTTCGTTGCACTGTGCCGCTAACTGCTGCGCAGCAGCTCCCCAGCTACGGCAGCCGCACTTCGGTACGGACGCAGGCGTCACTACCCACAAGGGGGAGACCTTCGCACGTGTTCACTGCCACACGTGACAATGAGGGTGGTTGGGCAGACAATCAGTGGGGCAAACTCGCCTGAGGATTGTTACCATGGGCAACACTGAGCAGTGCTTCAAATGAAAAGCAGCAGGAAGAGAGAGAGATAGGAGGTTTGGTGCTGGTGTGGAAGAAAATGCTGAAAAAAAATCGATTCCTAATTAGTTTATTTCAAGTCAGATCGTGCCAGTATAATGTCAGTGTTTTTTTTTTGTATTATAACCCTCCAACACCCGACTGAGCCAATAAAATAAAGTTGTCACGCGGGCAAACATGCCAATTGATGTGGTTTATGAGCAAAACCAGAGGAGTGTTAAAAAGTTAGCAAATTATTGACAATATTTGTAGAACGTTTCGCCGGAGGTTACAACCAACATCATCAGGCTTTAACAAAAGCTCAGTTCTTGCGAATGAAAGCTGGACATACTTGTATATGTACGTATAGTTATGCTGTGTACTTCTATATGTACATGCACCGCCCTTTTGTCAGTCCACTGCTGGATGAGGGCCTCCCCAGGGGGACATTTGACCATACCCCACCATGCTGGTTAATGTGGATGGTTTTATGAAGGCAGGTAGCATAGCCGTGGTAGCATAGATCTACTGTATACTACAGCATAGGCATACAATACAACTATTATGAGAGTGCCGTGGTGGGAAAATGTTAACTCCCTCACCTGGTATGCAGTAGGTCGTGGTTTTGATCTCGACCATGATGCCTGATTTTTTTGGAAATTTGCATGTTCTCCCCATAGTCGAGTGGATTTTTCTCTGGGTCCTCCAGTATTTCCCTGCACATTTATTTGGTCGCCATACATTTCCACGTGATAACTTCGTTGCGCTATCATTTGTGGCCAGGTAACTTCTGAAAAAAGCTATATAGCTCAGTGAGCCTTAACTGGTAAAATAAAAAAATGTTTTTAGTTTAAGATCTTGCTTGAGCACCCTATGGGGACCACCACCACAACAACCGCCACTAAGTGGCGGTGACGTCACCACAACGCTTGTGCCAGGCCACCACCACATAGCACAGTGCCACAGCCACCTATAACAACCAGGCGTGCATCGTGGTTGAAGAACTATCCAGGCTCAACCCTTGCTTAGCTTCTGATATGTGAGGAGATGAGGCAATCCAATCACAATCGCTGATCCATTATAAAATGTTGATGTTTATACGTCACACGATGGCACTTTCGCCAGAGAAAGCAGCCGGTACTCCGTGGAGTAGCGCCATTGCGTGTAGCTTTCCACTGCATGTAACGACGACAGTAATACATTTGATTCAGCCAGTGAGATTGCACACTCTGCATCATAATTATATTGCATGTATTGAGTTTTGAGCCAACTGGCCAGGATTGAAGACATAGCCAGCTATTCACCCAGGTAACCGGTGAGAGGCAGACTTGGATCGTAACTGACTTATCCTGACAAAAACAAACAATCACCTATATTTAAGAATGCACAATTGAAGAGTAAATAAACAACACAATTAAGAAGAAGAAAGAATCAAATCAAGCTTAAATATCTTATCAATGATTCTTGTACTGCCTGGGACACCATTCCAATATGGAACAAGGCTACTGTTGAAAACACCGATAGAACCAATCGACCTCTTGAGAGGAACAACGTCACCATGAAAGTGCAGTACTTGGTGAACGTTGGTATAATCTCTCACTCTTTTGATTTTGCTTTACCGTGAATACTTCGTAGGTATTTGCCGTTGTTTTATGTAGCTCTGCGATTGTGTTGTCGGATAGTACCACGTGTTGTTGGATACGGTGTCCGACGTTTCCACGCACGTGCTGGAAGCGCCTTCTTAGCTCTTAAAGAAGCTCCCAATGTAAACACGTACGTTGAACTTCCTTAGCACCGTTCGTAGCCAGCCGTGCTGATCGGAGGTGCGGCGGAAGGGCGACAGCAAACTAAGTACAACAAATGTCGGACACCGTGCCGAACGACGCACGGTCCAACCCCGAAACACATCGGAGAGTAGTCACTATTTTGACGAGTTGCGCAGTTGAGTCGGTGATGCTGGTAACTAAAAGACAAAGAGTCAATAACTAAAACACATTATTTAAAACTCTTTTAAACGCTTTCCAACAAATGATCGCCACTTTAAATAAACTACGCAGCCTCACCCGTCAAATTACGAGTCAACGCATCTCAGCTACGTTTAACAATTACCTCGCCAATTACTTTAATGGCCACCTGGGCCAAAAATAACCCACGCGCTGAGTCTCGAAAGACAACCCAGTCTCGTAGCTGTTAATATTCAGCCTGCGCACTTTAGCATGGCAATTGCCGAAGAAAGGGACATTATCTCGGGCTTGGTTACTCTTAATGACGCACCTGGTTTGCTTGCTTTGCAGGAGAAAGATCCCCCCACCAACCGTGCGAGTGAGTGAGTGAGCGTGCGTGCGCATTCGTGACCTTTGTAAAGGTGATGTCGTGGCTTTGTTTAACTCGCTAGACCCACTGGGGAGATTTTCAGAGTAGTTCTTTGCAGACGGTAAGCAACCTAATTGTACTGTCTCGGCAGGTGTCTCATGCATATGTGACCATTTATTTACTGACAACGAGGTGAAAGTCTATTGAGTCTTTTTCAGGGGACACCTAGGAAAGTAGAAAAGTTCAAATTACAATGGTCACACAGCATAGAAACAAATAAAGTATCATTATCAACATCTGTGATTAATCCACTGCTGGATGAAGGCCACCCCAAGTTGTTGCCATCTTTTTACTGGTTCTGCAATATAACAATCCACCTAGCATCTGCACGCGAGCTCATTTCGTTGCTCCATCTCCACGATGGTCATGCTCTCGGACGTGGTTCCAATCCTTTAGCTAGTGAGGGAAAAACGCATTTGATCCCCTGCTGATTTTGTACGTTTGCCCACTGACAAAGAAGTGATCAGTCTATAATTTTAATGGTAGGTTTATTTGAACAGTGAAAGACAGAATAACAACAAAAAAATCCAGAAAAACGCCTGTCAAAAACGTTATAAATTGATTTGCATTTTAATGAGGGAAATAAATATTTGACCCCCTCTCAATCAGAAAGATTTCTGGCTCCCAGGTGTCTTATATACAGGTAACGAGCTGAGACTAGGAGCACACTCTTAAAGGGAGTGCTCCTAATCTCAGTTTGTTACCTGTATAAAAGACACCTGTCCACAGAAGCAATCAATCAGATTCCAAACTCTCCACCATGGCCAAGACCAAAGAGCTCTCCAAGGATGTCAGGGACAAGATTGTAGACCTACACAAGGCTAGAATGGGCTACAAGACCATTGCCAAGCAGCTTGGTGAGAAGGTGACAACAGTTGGTGCGATTATTCGCAAATGGAAGAAACACAAAAGAACTGTCAATCTCCCTCGGCCTGGGGCTCCATGCAAGATCTCACCTCGTGAAGTTGCAATGATCATGAGAACGGTGAGGAATCAGCCCAGAACTACACGGGAGGATCTTGACAATGATCTCAAGGCAGCTGGGACCATAGTCACCAAGAAAACAATTGGTAACACACTACGCCGTGAAGGACTGAAATCCTGCAGCGCCCGCAAGGTCCCCCTGCTCAAGAAAGCACATATACATGCCCCTCTGAAGTTTGCCAATGAACATCTGAATGATTCAGAGGACAACTGGGTGAAAGTGTTGTGGTCAGATGAGACCAAAATGGAGCTCTTTGGCATCAACTCAACTCGCCGTGTTTGGAGGAGGAATGCTGCCTATGACCTCAAAAACACCATCCCCACCGTCAAACATGGAGGTGGAAACATGCTTTGGTGGTGTTTTTTCTGCTAAGGGGACAGGACAACTTCACCGCATCAAAGGGACGATGGACGGGGCCATGTACCGTCAAATCTTGGGTGAGAACCTCCCTTCCTCAGCCAGGGCATTGAAAATTGGTCGTGGATGGGTATTCCAGCATGACAATGACCCAAAACACACGGCCAAGGTAACAAAGGAGTGGCTCAAGAAGAAGCACATTAAGGTCCTGGAGTGGCCTAGCCAGTCTCCAGACCTTAATCCCATAGAAAATCTGTGGAGGGAGCTGAAGGTTCGAGTTGCTAAACGTCAGCCTCGAAACCTTAATGACTTAGAGAAGATCTGCAAAGAGGAGAGGGACAAAATCCCTCCTGAGATGTGTGCAAAGCTGGTGGCCAACTACAAGAAACGTCTGACCTCTGTGATTGCCAACAAGGGTTTTGCCACCAAGTACTAAGTTATGTTTTGCAGAGGGGTCAAATACTTATTTCCCTCATTAAAATACAAATCAATTCATAACATTTTTGACATGCGTTTTTCTGGATTTTTTTGTTGTTATTCTGTCTCTCACTGTTCAAATAAACCTACCATTAAAATTATAGACTGATCATTTCTTTGTCAGTGGGCAAACGTACAAAATCAGCAGGGCATCAAATACTTTTTTCCCTCACTGTACCACTACCGTCACTGCTGTAATCTTTTTAACTAAGGTAGGGCTTAAAACAGCCATGCATTCATATTGTTTGAGCACTGAATCTTAAGAACCCATTAAAAACTACCGGGAAAGGAATTGTTATTCAATGTAAAGCAGATGCAACACCCACCCTGCCTCCGGGTGGGTGGATTACAGGCGTGCACCACCACCACCACGCGATCTCTAAGCCAGGTATAGCTGAGCCAAGTCCTAGAGAAAAAAAAAACATTTATGCCACAAATATATATTTTTACAAGATAAACAAGGTATTCTAGCTTAATTGGAACACATTATTCAATCTTAATTTGAGGCTTTCGTGACTGTCGGAATCCATACTCTTTGGTTCTTTCGGTAAAGTCACATGGATATAAAATTACTAGATCACGACGTTTCGATCGCAACACAAGCAATCATCATCAGGTGAGACAAACAGCAGGAGAGATGGCTGCAAAACAAACTGAACAATTCACATTTTGCAGCCACTTCATGCGCCTGGACTCAACAAAAAAAAATACGTTGCCAACGAGAGGCACAGAGAGACAGGCACAGAGGCATATGTAGAGAACGATGCGGACAAAGACAAAAAAACAAAAGACACAGATACAGAGATAAATAGATGGACGGAACTATTCATAGGCACTACCAGATAGTGGGTTTTGAAGATAATCGTGGAAAGGCACTGGATGCTTTAACCTCAGAGTTATGTTAAACTGCACACGCGTGTCCTGGACTGTCTGTGCAAAATCTGTTCACAGAAACGATGTAATTAACATGTACGAGGTTTTCGCCACCAATATCCATTATCGAGGTTTTTGGGTTAGATCGTGTAAATATAAATGTGTCGTGAAACCCGCCTCTACCCGACAGCGAATTAGTAAGGTTTATCACATAAACAAAATGTGCCAATTCATTACTTGGTCAGCACACCGGTGTGTTGGAGAGTAATTGTAGATGTTGTGGGTTTACTCTCGAGCACATCGTTGTGCTGAACATATAATCAATCGGCACATTTTGTTTACATGACAAACTTTACTATTTGGCTGTGTCGGGTGGTGGCGGGTTTAACGACACATTTATGCGATCTAATCCAAAAAAACTATTAGGGGTGTAATTTAAATCAGCTGTAGCTTGACTCTTTTTTTGTTGTTTTGAGAACAAGGCGTCGGATTATTGTGAGGTTTCCTACCTTCGGATTCCACACCTGTGTGTTCCCCAGTCATGGGACCGGACTTTGGAAAATAGAGGTGCACAATGGCATTAAGGAAAATTGGAGTGGAAGTGCCCTCTTAAGCCTTCCTGGCACATTCAGTAAAAACAAGAGCCTCTGTTTAAATAGGGAAAGAGAGAGAGAGAAAATAATGGTGTCAGTGGCCCAATGAAACCCTGTAGATAGAACACTGACACCTTTGTCTTCCCCTCCCCCCCCATTGGGAATTTACTTAGACCTCCTCTGCTTGTATTAACAAAGAAAGCGGCGAAAGTGGACAACTATGTTTCAACCCGAATTAACCGGCCAAGGCTTCGTACTCGATGTCGGGAATGGCTGGACACTCGTCGATTAATATGGATTCGTTTAAACGTCGCGGCGATAAAGCCGTCAAAAACTTTAAAATGGCCACGTTGAGCTGTTAAAGATGCTGCAAAGGTGTCAGGCAGCCATGCGTGTTCATGCATCAGTTATCGTCACGTGCCATGTCAAAATCTTAAAGGTCCGTCGGCTGAAACGTCAAGATATTCCTTCCGAGTGACAGAATGAACTACCTGGTTTTTTTACACGTGTTATTCTAAGTGTGTGAGATCGCTGAAAGCTGTGTATGTAAGTATGTGGCATTACATAAGACTGAGGTGGCACTCAGGCATCCGTGTGCCCAAAGAGGAAAGTTTTCAATCGGCACCTGCTACCAGGTACTACACATGTGTTGTATTAAAAAAAACACAGACACTGACGAGGAAAATCGAACACCTGGCAGCGTTTTGTCTCTCGCCTACAGAAGGAGATGGAGACCCACAAGAAGATGGTGAAGGGGGCTCCCTTCCGCCTCAACCTGCACCCCCTGGACATCTTCGACGTGAACCCGTACCGCTCGGACCAGCCCGCCCGCGCAACCCACCCGCCCCGCGCCACCAAGTCCTCGGAGAAGGCCTTCAAGCCCAGCTCTCCAGCCAAAAAGGTCAGAGAGCGGCCGCCTCCGTTACGGCAGAGGTGCCCAGCTGAGAGTGTCATGCTTTCGCCCTCTGCGATAATATAACTAAATTTAAACTTTTTATTTTACCCGGTAAAGCCTATTGAGCTATGTTGCTCTTTTTCAGAAGGGACCTGCTCCCCAAATGAAAGCTCAACTTAATGGCTTATCATATGGAAATTAATATCAGCCAAATACTCTTAAACGCATGTTTCTAAATGTGGGGGGAAAAACCGGAGGACCCAGATAAAAATCCACATAACCACAGGGAGAGAGAACATGCAAACTCCAAATATACAGGCGTCGAAGTTGGGATTGAACCCACTGCCTTCTGCATACTGGGCGAGAGAGTTAACATCTTGCCACCGCGGCACCCAGGGGAGCTTCGCCGAGTTCCAAGACTCTTATTCAATGAAAACTCAAAACACATTTGTTAATAACATGGCCTAAAAAAAACACGTAACAGTTGATGTTTCTACTGCAGTGCTCAATGAGGCATTATGCAATATTTATTTTTGAACTGACAGCCCGTAGTGTAGAGAGGGAGAGGATACTTACCAAGAGCGCCTGGTAACCCATCAGAAATCACCTTTTGTGTGTATTTTACTCCGATGCGAGGAACACGGCGAGCACTCACCGGTAGCTTCAACGATGCTAACGACGGCACCGGTGGTGATAATTGTGACAATAATTTTTTTTCCCGTCCTGCACGACTCGAAGTGGAGAGGCAGCAAGCCTTTGGCAGGGCCCACTTTAACGTTGACGCGTTGTTTGCGGCGGGCAAACAGCGGGCCACAGTTCCCATGCCATCAAACACCTTTGGCACACAGTGCCTCAACAAGGACAACAATTGAGTGTCTCGTTGAGAAGCAATTATCGGCTCTCGTCCCCCCCCCCCAGCCTCTCCCATCCACTGACACAACAGCAGCTCGGTACAAACTCGGTAGGCCAGTGGTTGAAAATTGCATCGTGCATTGGTCTTCAATTACATTTCTGGCGGACGGCTTAATAAAATTGGCACATATGCTAACGAGCCATGTCACACGTCATGCACGTACAGGCGTGATGACGTCGCATTGCGTCGTGACGTCATGCCGTTGGCATATGCGGGCACTTATCTGTGCCTCTTCCTTGTCTCCAAGTTTCTCATCTCTCTCTTATCTCTCATTCATCTCACTAATCTGTATCTCTTTAAGTCTTGGGGTGATCCGTAGCGCTCGGTAATAGGGCAGCATTCAATTGCGGTGACGTAGCTCCGCTGCGGTGAAGTACGGGTGCAGCCCTTTGCCAATTCACTGATGGATAAGGGGTACCCCACAGTATTCGGGTTGTGGGGGTCACTTGACCATACTTTACCACGATGATGATTGCGATACCTCCCTTGATTTAGACTTTATAAAAGGGAGAAAATATTACAGTGGCAAAAAGTTAAAATGTTACTTCATCTGCGGGAAGAAGTAGTACAATAGACCTGTCAAGCTTCAACAAGGCAACTTATCAATCAAAATGCATAAAAAAGCAAGAACACGGCTCAATTTGGCGGCAATTAAAGTGGTTAATTTCGCGAAAGCTTATGTCATGACTGTAATCATGAACTGTAGTTACGCAGAAATTATGTTTTAATCTGCGATCCATCGGGCGGTTGTGTTGCATCATGCGAGAGGGTGGCTCGGTCGGGATTTGCTGGACCAACATCGGCTCCGACAGAAATCACGCGCTCAGAGCCACTAAGCCGCGTTGACTTTGCCGCGTCTCTGAGAATCGTTTTAGACTCATTTTCTCACAGGCGCTGTGATGTTCTGGATATTCGGGGGTGTGGGTAAAGTTATTTTTCTTCAGGGCAGGGGGGGTTGTGTCTGCACCAGTCAGAATCCGTTTTTGTTGTTGTTGTGCCGCTCTTACGAGGTTATTTAGTTGAACATTCACACATTAATTTACGTGCGTGCTTAGTAAGCAGCTCAAACATCGAAAGGACCTATTTATAGATATCCTAGCGGGAAGTACCCGGCGTTGCCTGGGCGAAAAAGACACACACACATCGACTTACACACAGACATCGACCCACACACATACAAACACATCGAATTACACACACACATATGGACTCACACACACAGACATCGACTTTAGACACACACATGGAGTTACACACGCACATCGACTCACACACACATAGACTTACACGCACACATCGACTCACACACATACATAGACTCACACACACATCGCCCCACACACACACAGATATGAACTTACACACACACATGGACTTACACACACACATGGACCCACGCACACACATGGACCCACGCACACACATCGACTTACACACACACATCGACTCACACACACATCGACTCACACACGCACATAGAGCCACACACACACATCGACTTACACGCAGACATATCGACTTACACACACACAACAACCGCCATTCGCCACTAAGTGGCGGTGACGTCACCACGACGCTTGTGCCAGGCTATGTGCACCTTGAGGCCACATGAAGTGTCGAACGCCCGCTAGCAGGAGATCACGGGGGAGACCCAGATGCCACGGGTCGACTGACTGAGACGACTGACTGATGCACCACCTGTACCCCCTACTGTGCCAACTTGCTGTGCTTTAGCCACCCGGCGCTCCGCTCGTTGTTGTGAGCGTCGCTCCTCCGCCCTCCAACTGCCCAGTAGCGTCCTTCACGAGCCTCCTCCACAGAGGCCAATCTTGACACCGCTGGTACCAGTCATCGGTAAGTCCACTCAGCTCCACACCCTCCTGTACCACATCACTCCATCTCTTCTCTAGCCCGTGCCACGCCCATTTTGACCCCTCGATCCGGCAGAACAAAAGCTGTTTAGGCATGCGGTGGCTGGGCATGCGGGCTACATGATCCAGCCAACGCAGCCTTGCCTGCCGAAGGAGCTAACCGATGGGACTTTGCCCTGATCTTTCAAGGATTTGTGAGCTCCTCACACAATCCAGCCTGGTTAAACCCAGAATGGATTGTAGGCAGGCCAGCCTAAATGTTTCTAACCGGCGAAGATGTTCCATTAGGGAGGTCCACGTTTTGCAAGCGTAGAGAAGGGAGGGAATGACCGTGGCCGAGAAGACCTGAAGCTTCGTGTGGAGCGAGAGACCAGGTAGCTTCCACACAGCGTTACGCAACCGATGAAAAGATAATGCCGCTCGATTGATTCGGAGTGTGACCTCTTGTTAAACCGGAGCCAGTCATGAGCACACTGCCAAGGTATGAGAAACTCTCCACTCTCTCCACAACTGCCGTATCACCAATTGGGAGTTGTGGGGGTGGAGTGTCCAATGGTACAAAATACCCAGGCAGGTGCTTAGTTTTGGTGGGGCTGATGGTAAGGCCCCACCTCTTGGTGGAAAGCTCCAAGTTCAGCAGCAGCGCCTCCAACTCCTTCTCTGAGTGAGCAGCAATTACCAGATCATCGGCATACATAACGTGGTTGAGAAATAGGGAGCCATCCCTTGACTGCACCCGGGCATCGATCAGCCTCCCATTGTATCACAACCCAGATGGAAATTCCTCCTATACAGCTATTGAAGGCTTCACGAACTACGTGGTCAAAATAGATCTTAAATAATGTGGGATCCAGAGGACATCCCTGTCGCACCCCAAGGTGTACAGGGAATGGCTCTGACTCCCTGCCACGTAGTTTTACCCGGGCCCGCTCACCATCATGAAGGTCCTTAATGATCGTGAGCAGATTGTGAGGGACTCCGAAAGCACGAAGAACAACCCAGAGCCCAGGCCTACTGATGGTATCATAGGCCTTGACCAGGTCAATAAAGCAGAGATGTAGGTTTTTTTGGAATTCCCTACACCTCTGCTGCAGCAGACGGACAGAAAATAAGGCATCTGTGCAGGACCGCCTTTTCCTGAAACCACATTGGGGCTCTGCAAACCTCTCCTCAGCATGCCTAGCAAGGCGATGTTGAATAATCCTTACCAGGGCCTTTCCGGGCACACTGAGGAGTGAGATGCCCCTGTAGTTGTTACAGTCTGTGTGGTCCTCCTTCTTAAAGAGGGGGACCTCCAGGGCATCCTTCAAATCCTGCGGAACCTGTCCAGTGGTCCAGAATGTTGTTATGATGTCATGTGGGGCAGTCTGTGCACAAACGCCACCCCCCCCTCAGCATTTCGCTTGGGAGATCATCTCTGCCCGGAGCCTTTCCTGGTCTCAGACTCTGGATCGCCCTCAGCACTTCCTCCACAGATGGCACCTCAACCAGCCACTCACAGGGGGTGACTCCTTCCAATATTTGAGGCACTGCAGCCTCGGCAGGGTCATCCCCACTTTGTCTCACGTTTTTCTGGGTGAGGGATTTCCCCTCCCCCAGGACCTCACAGAAATGCTCAGCAAATCTGCAAACCTGTTCCTGGGGGTCGGAGATTGGATCACCGTTATTTCCCCTAATGATGGTAATAGGTGTGGCGCTGCAGGTTACTTTTTTGATGGAATTAAATAGCGATTTGTGATCGTGGGCCAATGAGGCAGACTCCATCTCCTCAGCAACCCGCTACCACCACCCATCCTTGCAGCGCCTCACGGCTCTCTGAACCTCTGAGCGAAGGCTGCAGTAAGCCTCATCCTTCTCCGACGTGGGATGCTGTAGCCGATGAGAGTGGACCTGTCGCTTTTTCTCAGCCAGCTTTAACACCTCCTTTGTCAGCCAGGGTCTCTGGGGAGGTCTGGACCGTGTACCCAGAGCAGCCATTGCAGCTGCATGAGCCACAGTCCTAAACCTCGCTCATTTCCCCTCAACATCAGGAGGAGTTGGGGACCATGCCAACCCCAGCCGCAAGCAATGATTAAATTAATGCTTGCAAGTTTAATCAGCTAGCTGAGACTATGCCTCTAAGGGTTTGAATGGGGTCCTGGGTGTACACCCACCACTGGAGTGGAAGAATGGCAGGCACATCTTACAGATGACAAGTCGATGGTCAGTGGACAGATCAGCTCCACTCGGGCATTGAAGTCACCCAACAAGATGACTCTATCCCGAGGGGCCACTTGAGGTAGCACCTGTGACAGGAGGTCATATAAGGCATCTGATTCATCGGTCTTGCCTGCATCCCACCATGGATGTTCGTCTTCAGTCAGGGCATAAGTAACCACGACCACCACTCCTCGCCTCTGGTTGATGGGAAGGCGAGCCCAAAGTAGCCTGGGGCTTACAACTTCCTACACCTCACCGCCACGCTCCCACACTCCCTTCATTCTTTTGTTCAGAAGAAGAGCCACTCCCTGTTGTTTGGCAGTCTCCTGCCCCGAGAAGAGGACTGTCCACCCCTCATGGTTACAAGAGCCAGAGCCGGTCCACCGGACCTCCTGAATACCACAGAGATCGAGGCGGTACCGGTCCAGCTCCCGACAGAGGAGTGGCAGCCTCTCCTCTGCAGTTAGCGTTCGAACATTCTACGTGGCCACACATAGTGGTTTTTTATTGTTTCTGGATGAGCCCCGAGGTTAAGGATTCATTCTCCTGGCTACGCCAAATGGGGTTTGGCCAGGATACGTCATAGACGCCTGTCCCCCCGGGGCCTCCGGCACAAGCATATTAATTTAAAAAAAATTGTCGTGGTTTAGCAGTAATTAATTGAAGGTGGAGGGGTTACCAACCCCTCACACCCATCCAGAGCCCCCTTTTGGCCGCTGTGGTGGTCACAAATGCCATGAGGGGAAAGGCCAATCGGAATTGGCCCTCCCCCCACAGCACTGCCCACGACAGCGTTGCCCATCCGGCACCACGAGGTAGGGGGTTGTTTTTTCGACTTATATACACACACACGGACGTACACACACAAATTGCCGCAGACACGCACATCGACTCACACGCACACATAGACTTAGACACACACGTTTTTATTTTAAGATTTACTAACTAAATATTTAAATATTAGTTGTCTACACACACACATTATTATTTTAATATTTCTGAACTGAATTTTTAAAATATAAGCTTTTATCTACGCGAGTTTAGCGAAAGGAGCAAGAAAATAGTACTTAACAGTGCCGTGGTGAGGCCTAGTCTCATGCAGAGCCCCCGGCCTCACCTAGATTTCCCAGCCGGCCAAGGTCGCACCTTGGCAGGCTGGAGCTGGGCTGCTGGCCCTCACCCCCCCCACCCCCCACCAACGCCCACTCTGCAATAGTAGCTACGGCCTATAGTAGTAGCATCTACCGACTCTATAGTAGTAACTGCACACATTGGGGTGGGGGGGAGAACAGGACATTACACTGTGAAGAATTAACCTCAGCGTTGTGTGTATTTTTATAGCATTTTTTTACGCGAATGAGAATTTCCTGCCCCCTCCACGTATCGCGCGTGTGCGTTGCTAGAGGCAACCCCCCGGTCAGCTTTGTCGCGCATGCGCGAATGCGTGCTTTGGCTCTCACAGAGCGGCGTAAGTAAGTAAATAAAAATAAATAGCACTAAATTGTTAATTTAACTAATTTAAAGTTGACGGATGGGAAAATGGAATAGCGCTGGCTCACCATGGGGCTTATGGTGTGGTACCTGGCTACTTATTTTAAAACATAAACCCCAAGGTTTGCGAGCCAAATCCTTCGCAAGTTTCGTCCACACACACAGACACAAACAGACAGACAAAAAATGACATTTATAGGTAACATATTTTTTACACTATAAGAAAAAAGTATTGCTGGCTGGCACGTGGGTAACGTTACCGCGCAAATCTGCGTTTTGGCATCACCCGCATCTCACAGCATTGAGACTGGTTCGTGTGTCACGCTGACGTCACATCTCTTCCCTGCCCACCCTCTACCCTGGGCTGTGTATCTGGAGCAAATACACGGCCATTGCGAATTTTCATTGGGAAATTAAACTCCCTTGCTGCAGAATTCGAAGGCTTGTACAGCACCGATCAATATTTGTGTTGAATTATGTAAAAAAAAACATTTCACTCAACCTCATGACTAATTCGGGAATGGTCCTGGATTGGGATGGTTGGCAAATTCACAGGGTCATAGAATAGTGGGACAGTTTGCCCTAGCCCTGAGATCTGGGGGAGCCTCACAAAGGCCTGAGGTGCCCTAAATAATTGTCCTTCATGCGTAAGACAAACTGGAGCAGCCATAAGAAAGCCATTTCACGTAAGTAGATAACTCACATAATTCAGTATGGATAGGTCAACAACCCACTTACTGTACTGTCACCTGCGCGTACAAGTAGATAATTCACAAAAATGTGTACACACCACACCAGGTACTCAGAGGTTGAGTCGGCCTAGGGGAGGTCCAAGATCAGTTCAGATAATCATTACTGGTGTTGGTGGCTGTGAGCGGGGAACGAACTTGGGTCTCGTGCATTGAGGTTATTTAGATAACTTTTTCCAATAAATTTCCACATGATAAGCCACTTTGTTGAGCTATCATTTGTGGCCAGGTTGCTTCTGAAAAATAAGTTAATACTTCAGTGAGCTTTGCCTGGCAGGATGGGGATGGTCTAGTTTTATTTGTTTGTGTTTGGGTGATTTGTTTACCTTTCTTGTACTTTGCCCTCCTATCGTGTTTGTAGTGTTTGTTGTTGCAACGTTCTTACCCGCCCTGACTGGAAATCTGCGTACAAGAGCTTTATAGCTCATCAGATTGCTCCGGTCCAAATAAATATTCAGATTCTGATTTGTCGTACAGCACGCTAACCGCGAAATTATCGCTCTCCACGAAACACATCCCGTTTGCGCAACCCCTCATGTTTTCTGCAGATGGGCGGCATGAAGGCAGGCACGTTTGACTCGTACCCGTCGCACTCGGAGGACGCGTACATCGTCAAGCGAGCATCGGCCCTTGCGGGGGGCAGCAGCGGCAACAAAGGAGGGGGCCACGTGTTCCGCCCGTCACCCGGCCCCAAGAGCACGCCGGTCCGGAGCATCATAGATGCCAACATCATCAAGTAAAGATGGCCGGTGGTGGGCGGGCAGGCAGCACTTGCAGACGATGGCTCAAGGGGACACTTGTTCCCACTCTCATTACATTTGCTTTTGGATTTTATCGTTGACTCGATGGTTTCCCCGCGGCTTTGCCACTCATGATATTAGCTTTGTTGAGCTTTTGGCATTAATGTTGAATCTTCAGTATCCCGAGTATACCTCTCAGTTTCACTCTGCGAGCTTCGAGAAATAACTTTGAGCCCTAAGAATCCTACAATTGTTTCACCATACCTAACCTTACCACACTGGTCATTGTGGATTTGTGAAGTTCAGAGGACGGAGCTCCAGGACTGGTTCAAGTATTGCTCTACACTGATGTTAGCCGTGGACAGGAATCAAACTCGCGTAGGTCACCAGTTCATTGGGCTCGTCGCGCTGTGCGATAACTACCGTGCCACCGCGTACCATTAATTGCGAAGACTTGTATGTATGTATGTTGAACTTATTTCGCACCGCACGTAGCCAATCGTGCTAATCGGTGGTGCGGGCAAAAGACAACAAACTCAAGACTTGTGCAAAACGAGCCTTGTCATGTTCAGGGCACAGTCTTGAGGGTGATCGGCAAGTGCACGCAAAACAAATCTGAACCACGTTCTTTGCCGACACGATGTTTAATATATTCTTCCCTCTAAGACTCTTATCGTCCACTTGAGTTTAAGTAAGTCTGGCGTCATCGCTTTCGTTGAGAGGGGGTGGCGGGGAGAATAAGAAGCGCAGTGCCTTTAAATTGTTTACGCAGCTCCAGCCCCACAGGTAATCTCTCGCTCAATCAAACAGAGCGGGAGGCCCTGTGATGCCCACAGGGTGGTCGCGGGGAGTTGCCTGATGATTCTGGGTTGAAAAGTTGACATCGTCACTCATTCCCCCAGCTGTGCTCTTTGTGCCTTTTATAACAACGTACATCACCCCTTTAGTCAGTTCCACTGCCGTTGTTGGTTGTTGGGGGTTGTTTGACCATACTTCATCGCATTGGCGAAGGGCTGGCTTAGCTATCGCTCACAATGAATGCACGATAGCGCTTGTGAATTGCCGCCACGGTGGCGAGATGTTAACTACCTTGCCTGGTATACAGGAGGTCGTGGGTTCGATCTTGATGCCTGTATATTCGGAGTTTGCGTGTCTCTCCCCGTGGTCCCGTGGATTTTTATCCAGGCCCTCCGGTTTTTCCCTCCACATTTAGAAACATGCGTTTAGAGTATTTGAGCTATCATTTGTGGCCAGGTCGCTTTTTAAAAAGAGCTATAAAGCTCAGTGGGCCTTACCTGGTAAAATGCAAAATAGTTAATAGTTTTTTACAATTTTTTAAAGTGTCATTGGGTTTGTGCAGTTATGAATAACAATGTTGTGAAACCCCACACTTTACCCCACCACAGTGCATCCTGGCGGATGAAAAGAGCAATTGAGGCAAAAGTTAAGGAAAAGTGCGCTTGTGCAGGACACGTCGCTGGAAGACATTATGATCGATGGTCCGAGGCTAATTACGGAGCGGCAGCCAAAGGAGGCAAAAAAGAGACCCATCCATCGCAGAGATGGAGCGGTGAAAGCGGCCAAATGCACAGGCACTTGACGGATTGTTGCATCACAGCACCGTGAGATGGAGCAACAGCTTGGGAGGCCTCGGGCAAGCGCCAAGGGACCGATGATATTGTCGATCAAATAAAGAAAACTGATGCTTGTCATCTGCGATTAACAATAGTCGGCGGTGGCCTGGGAAGCACTGGCTAACTGACGAGCATGCCGAGGGCCACACCTGAGGGCGGTCCACGGAGACACGCTTTTAATTAACCGTCCCATTACGCCCAGGCCGTGAGCTCACAGCGCTTGGCAATTGCATCGCCATCCCCCCCACCTCGAGCGGGACACTCCCCTTGTCACCCACCCCCAACTCCATGATTGCTGCTCATCCCGCATTGACTCTAATTCTGACCCTTCGAAACGACAGGGGCATGCGCTTAAATTTTTATCCACGGGCTCTTATTTTCCCATTCAATGAAAGTCCCCCCCTGCCCCTCCTTCAACTGCCCCCTTACGCTGCCCCCCCCCCCCCCATTTACCAACGGTCGGCAACAATAGCTGCGATGATAATAGCGGCGCTGGTCCAGAATGGGGGGGGTGTGGTTTCTTTTGAGATTGTGTATTTTTTTAGTTTTGACTGTCCGGGTGTATTCTTGTTGCTATAGTCCCCGTGATTAATGACGTTACGATTCGAGGGTGCGTGCGTGCACGTGCCCAGCACCCCCCCCCCCCCCCCAGCGTGGCGCTGGAATGTGCCGCCACGGTTGTTTATTCGGTCCCCCCGCGTGTGCGCGAGAGACTCTGCCTTTCCCAGGCTCGCGTGGCACGGAACAGGCTCCCTCTCTCTTGGCAGCCGCTCCCGTCGGAATGTTAGGCAGCGCTCTCTACTATTGCCTTGCCAGCCTTGCCCACCTCATTGACTTATATGTTTTAATTAACCAGAAGTCAACTCTGCAAAAAATATTTTTTTACGTATATTTTTGTTCCCCTAATTGTATTCCGGTTGGGTTAACGACGTCACGTCCTGAGACAAATCCGTTTTCATCTCTCGCAGAGTAACACAACCCTTTATTTTTTTATTTAAAGCTTTCGTAACTGCAGTGATTCATATTCTTGGTTCTTCCGGTAAAGTCACGTTGAAGGGAAACAATAAAATAATAAAATATATATAAAACAATTAAATTCTCACGACGTTTCGACTGTAACACAGTCATCATCAGGTGTGAAAAAAACAACGGTAAGAAGCATTTGAAAGAAGTGGCGGTTTGTATTTATTAATTTATTTTTCAACGTTGGCCTTATTTATTTATTTTAAAACGGTGTTGGTATTTATTTTTTAAAACGTTAGCGCCACGGATAGCGATTTGACAGTTTGTTTAGAAGGACGAGTCCATCTATGTTCGGAAAAGAGGAGGGGGGAGACGAAAATTTAATGTATGCTGTCTGAAAGCCCCCGCAATAGTGAACAATCAATTAAGACCCGAAATGGTTTATCAAATCCTTCCAATGATTGCTAAGCCAGAATCCATCTTCTCGGTTGAAATTGTCTCTGTGTTTGTATATGTGGATAGCCTCATGAACGAATCTCTCATGGTAGCCCGATGGCTTGCAAAGAACCTCTGTCTTGGAGAAGTCAATGTCATGACATTGACTTCTCCAAGACAGAAATGGTTTGTGTTACAGTCGAAACGTCGTGAGAATTTTATTGTTTTATATATATTTTATTATTTTATTGTTTCCCTTCAACGTGACTTTACCGAAAGAACCAAGAATATATATACAACCCTTTATGTTAGATAACAGCCCATGGAAGTGGGTATGACAGAGCTACCTCTGAGATCCCTTCAAATAGTATCTGGTAAGGGGCAGAACTTTCCCACCTACTCTTCTGCAGAGAGTGGTGTTTGTGGCATAATAAAAATATAAAACAATAAAATTCTCACGACGTTTCGACTGCAACACAAGCAATCATCATCAGGTGTGAAAACCACAGCAAGAAAATGTCTACGTGACTTTACCGAAAGAACCAAGAATATGAATTCCTGCAGTCACGAAAGCTTTAAATCAAAATTTAACCGCCTCTACGGGGAGGGTTTCCACATAACTTTGAGATCCTTCAACAAACTCCAGGATAAGAAGGCTCAGCTGATCGAGTCTCTCACCTTTCTGAAGAGATGCCGCGACTCTGGGGTAATACCAATCGCATTTACACTGACCTCTGCTGCTGTAACTTCTTCTAATGCGAAACTAATTCTTTCCAGAACTAGCTTAGCTCTTATCTCAGATAAATTAGACTTAATACGCACCGAACTAGATCAGTTAGACAAGACACTCTACAAATCACACTTATCATTGACGGCAACAATGTCCATATCGGATTGGGAACATGTAGACAATATGACTGCCTCTTCAGCTGCCACTATGTCGACCAAATGTAAGGCCAACCTGATTTCCAAATTTAACCTCTCCAACAAAAGACCGGACCCACACACCAAAAAGCTAGACGTTAACAAAGTCGTAATTAATCGCAGTAACAGTTCTATTTCCGATGGTCTGAAATCTATTTTAGCTAAAGGGTTAAACTTTGCAGTCACACTAAATACATACCAGTTAATTATATCATTTCCCAAGTAGACGTGGCTCTCAAGGGCCTGGGTCACATCGCTGCAGACGTAGCAAGATCTGAAAGCGCTGCAACCCTCAAAAACGCTAAGATGCCAGCTAGCAACCTCAGCAAAGATGAGCGTTTTGAATTATATAAATAAAAAAGAGGGATGATATTGTCATCCTCTCAGCCGACAAGGGCAATGCCACTATCATGGATAAAATAGAATATAACAATAAAATTCAAGAATTACTCAACGATGGCAGCTATACAAAAATAAAGAGATTCCACCAACAGCCTCGTCATACAAACCAACCAAATCATTTCTGATTCAACCACATTACTTGATCAAACCAAACAGTTCTCGTTGAAACCTTCTGCTGCCAGGCGACCAAGATTATACGGCTTACCAAAAATACATAAATTAGATACACCCCTTTGTCCCATCGTCTCTACTGTCAACTCCCCCACCTACAAACTGGCTCGTTTTCTGTCTGAAATCCTGCGGCCTTTCACTGGAAAAACCACCTCTGCGGTACAAAATTCTACTCACGTGGTATCGACAATCACAGGTATTTCCCTGTCCCCAGACGACCTGCTTGTCAGTTTTGATGTAGTTTCCTTATTCACCAAAGTTCCTGTACCTGACACCACTGCAATCATTGAAGGCTTGGTTCATCAAGGACTAAACACTGAGTTACCCCCCCTGGTGAGACACTGCTTAACCAATACATACTTCACTTGGAATGGAACTTTCTACAAACAAACTGAGGGCACCCCAATGGGCTCCCCCCTATCTCTGGTTGTAGCCAACATTTTCATGGAGAAATTTGAGACTGACGCCATCCAGACTGCCACTCTGCGCCCAACCTTATGGAAGAGGTACATGGATGACACTTTTGTCATCTGACAACATGGCCGGCCTGCTTTAGACCAATTCCTCGACCACATCAATTCCATACACCTAGCCATCAGATTTACCATGGAAGTCGAAAAAGATGGCAAGCTACCTTTTTTGGATGTGCTAATAAAAAAAGAGACCTGATGGTTCAATGAGCCACTCTGTCTACAGGAAAGCTACCCATATGGATGCTTACCTGAAACCCGATTCCCACCACCATCCATCCCAGAAGAATTCCCTCATCAAGACTCTGCACCATAGAGCCCAATGCATATCCGACCAGGAACAAATTACCAGTGAACTCAAGCACGTACACCAGGCTCTCAGGGCTAATGGTTACTCCGACTACACAATCCGCAAAGCTATCACTCCAACCATGAAGCAGGACCCTCTTGAGGAGCCTTTCAAAACCATCACTTTACCCTACATTGCGGGGATCACAAAAAAGATCTCCAAAATCTTGAATAAACACAAGATCCAGGTCCGATTCAACACATTACATAAAATCCGTGATCTGGTTCCGTCTGTAAAAGATGTGATTCCGGACATACAGTACCCTGTCGTCTACAAACTAAGTTGCCTCTGTGGTAGTAACATTGGAGAAACCAAACGGCATGTCTCGGACCGCATTCGTGAACACATAGCAGATCTAAAACACGGTTGGACCAACACCTCGGCCGTCGCAGATCACTGTTATAATTCAGTAGGCTCACATGACATTGACTTCTCCAAGACAGAGGTTCTTTGCAAGCCATTTGGCTACCATGAGAGATTCGTTCATGAGGCTATCCACATATACAAACACAGAGACAATTTCAACCGAGAAGATGGATTCTGGCTTAACAATCATTGGAAGGATTTGATAAACCATTTCGGGTCTTAATTGATTGTTCACGCTTACGGTGGCTTTCAGACCGCATCCATTATTTTCGTCTCCCCCCTCCTCTTTTCCGAACATAGATGGACTCGTCCATCTGAATAACTGCCAAATCGCTCTCCGTAGTGCTAACGTTAAAAAAAAACGCCACTTTTTTCAAATTTTCTTGCTGTGGTTTTCACACCTGATGATGATTGCTTGTTGCAGTCGAAACGTCGTGAGAATTTTATTGTTTTATATTTTTACTATTTTATTGTTTCCCTTCTACGTGACTTTACTGAAAGAACCAAGAATATGAATCCCTGCAGTCACGAAAGCTTTAAATCAAAATTCATTTGAGTATTTGGCTGCTATAAATTTTCACGTGATAATCCACTTTGTTGAGCTATTATTTGTGATAGCCAGGTCACTTCTGAAAAAGAGCTATATAGCTCAGTGGGCCTTACCTAGTAAAATAAACATAGCGCTTATAGTTTTAGATCTCAGGCCGTGGGGCTCAGACGGCACCGTCTCATGTCGGGTTGTTGTTGTTGTGTTGTGCTCCCCTCCCCATCGCTCTAATCTGCAGATCCATTAACAGGCAGAACTGCAATCTGGTGCAGCGGGTGATGGCTTACTGAAATCCTCACCCAGGTGCCGTCACGGGGCGCTTGCAGCGGAAGTCTTGGACCTGCCGCGCTCTAATCTCCGCGCAGGGCAGGAGGGCACGCGGCAGCGGGGGTCCGGTGGAACAGCAGGGCAGCACCCGGAGCCGAGGCAATGACCCAGTTGACCCCCTCAACTTATCACTTCAACAACAAACACCAAGACCGTGCTGCGTGCACACAAGGGCACGTCTTGTTGTTTTACATACACACGATCCATAAAAGATAGATTTACGATCATTTTTGGAAATGCAATGCATCTTTGTCTGTCCCTTTTATCTGCTCGTCATCGATGATGGGGCCCAAACTAATTTCCACCATGGTTCTCTTTCGCTAGCCGATACCACTGCTTCACTCGCTCTCAATCCTTCCTCTCAGCTATCTTCATCCTGCATCGATCCGCATGCATGTCTTTCCCCTCTTCTTGGTTCCTCCCAGTGTTGTCTCACATTGGCAAGTACAGGTTGATCCTGTCCCAGTCTCGTAATGGGGGGTGGGGGCTCCGGGACCACTGCATCGTGCCATTTTATCAAGTAGGCTTTAACTTAGCAATTTGTTCTCACGTTCTCTAAGTCTGCCACCATAGCCAAAGTAAGTCGTTTGCACATTTATCCCTTGGAAATTAAACACGATAGCACAAAGGTGGAAGATACTAAATAAGTCAGTCACTGTAACACGAGGTGGATTATTTAATAACTTACACAGAATAAAACAAATATTCAAATCTCTTGTTTTTATTCGTATATTACACTGGCAAGTACAATTCATAGTCTTTGCCTGGTGTGCGCGTTTAAAAAAATACTTTTGTTGAATCCTGTACGTGTTGAATTACAGTTTATCGTGCAAACTGGTTTAATTACAAATAATTAGCCTCGAGAGAGAGAAATAGAAGTTGTTGGCATGTTTGGCCTGGAGAAGGGGAGGGTGTTGTGTTCCGGGGGGCCCTGGTTAGGATTATAGAGGCATGAATGGGCCGGCAAAGCTAAGTGTCGTGTCTTGGCACACCCAACGCGGCACATTTCACATGACTTATCGCGCACCAGATAGTTCAAGTCATTTATCCCTGATTGGCTAACGTGCGGATTAGCAGACATGGGAAAGTTGATGTAACTGGGACCAGATACAAAAGACAGATCTCCGCTTTTGCCCCAGAGAATGTGTGGGGCAAGTGCTGTTGGTGAACACCACCAGGGCTGGCATGACACACAGTGGGGGGGAGGGGGGTTCTGACCCGCCCCAATACACCAGGCTGCCCCTTTGGCACCCTGAGCACGGATGTTGACCACACTACACAAATTGCAGTGTTTTTTTGTCAGTCAACTTCAGGGAGACCTAGGCCAGCATCCGATAGATATTTCCACAGGTGTTATGTACAATCATTCAAGATCAGGATGCAAGGGGACTGTAACACGGTGTGCTATTATAAAAAATAGACCCCCTGGATAGCCCGGCAAGGCTAGCACGGCAGACGAGGGGGTGGGTAGCCAGCACCACGGTGACGAGATGTTATCTCCCTCACCTGGTATGCAGGAGGTCGTGTGTTAGATCCCAACCCTGATGCTTGTATATTTGGAGTTTGCGTGTCTCTCCCCGTGGTCGTGTGGATTTTTATCCAGGTCCTTCGGTTCCCCCCCCCCCCCCCACATTTAGAATCAACATGCATTTTGATTATTTGGCTGCTATAGATTTCCACATGATAAGCCACTTCGTTGAGCTATTATTTGAGGCCAGGTCGCTTCTGAAAAAAAGCCATATAGCTTAGTGGACCTTGTCTGGTAAAAAAAAAAAGTGGCGATGTTCACACACCACACCAGGTACTCATTTAAGGCGGAGTCGACCGAGGGGAGGCCCAGAACCAATTCACCGGTGTTGGCCATGAGCGGGAATTGACATCGGGTTGCCGGATTTGTAGCACAGTGCACTAACCATTGCACTACCGCTCCCCACGCTATAACTACTACAAGACAAACACCTATCGTTTAGCCTTTAACAGACTGTTGGGCCAAGTGCTGTTAGCTAGCACCTATGAAGGCTGGTACCGCACATGAGGTGGTGGGTGGCCAGCACCACGCCTGGCCGTCTTGGTCTCCCGAGTGGTGATGTTTACACAGTACCAGGTACTCATTTGATGCCGAGTCGACCTCGGGGAGGCCCAGGACCGGTTCACATAATCGTCACTGGTGTTGGTCGTGAGCGGGAAATGAACTCAAGTCTCCAGGTTCGTAGCCCAGCGCGATAACCCCTGTAGTAATATAGGTACTACACACACCTAAAAATGGATGTGCAGTCGGGTGGTGTACTTTTGCAAATTGCGCTACCCCATACAGGTATGAAATGCTTAATAATCTACTTCGATGGCAGTAAAGTGGGCAAAGGTCACAAGCAACTACACACGTGGGAATTTGAAAGCACAAAACTGAGTAAGCTACTTGTCGGCCCATAACACAACCCCCTATAGCAATATAACCATGTTGGGTCATGTGCTGTTAGCGGGTACCTATTTAGGCTGGCATGGCACACAAAGGGTTGTGTAGCCAGCATCACAGCCCATCTGCTTTTGTTGCCCAAGCGCCGTTGAAAATCCACCACACCCAGTCCTCATTGAAGGATCAGTTGGCCAAGGGGAGGTCCAGGACCGGTCTATACAATTGCCACTGATATTATCTATGACCAGGAATTAAACTCAGGTCACCAGATTAGTAGCGCAGTGTGTTAACCAATACGCCTACCGCTCCACCTTTGTGCGAGTGTGCAGAACAAATGCCCTTTGTGTAGCATTCATAGACTGTTGGGGCTGTTAGTGAGCAGCTGTAAAGCCCGACACGGCACACCAGCCGGTGGTGCGGCAAAGACCACGCCCGACCGCCTTTGTCTCTAAAATGTGTGCGCCCACCACCTGCAATCGGATACGAAAACGACTTATCAACATGGCCACTCGCAGTCACAAGAACTTGGACAACAAATCGAACAGCTTTCAGTATGGATCATTTATGGGAACGAGTTGTATTTAAAAATCAGCACATGCCACTGTTAAAATTCAATTTCCAAAATAATGCTAATAAAATAGTTACCAGAACCTTATGGCTTACGACCCACAAAACCGTGTTGGAGTGAGTAGTGTATTAATAAGGGACTTTCACATTTAATTTAGCAATTAATCTTACAATAATTTCGGAATAAAACAAATTTTCCAAACAAGATTGATATATTTGCTGGATGTACAAACCAATAAACGGATCAATTTCAGATACTTTGACTAAAATTCCAGTGTGTGAAACAGCTTAACTGGACATGATAATTTGTACGGCTGTACATTAGTGTAATCCACGACTCTTGGCTTATGAGATGTGATCATATGGAATGTGCAATTATGTTCAAAAGAGAGAGGTGGGTGATATTAAATCTTGAACAAATCTGGGCCAAATGCATAAAACAGCAAGCAATTTGGACATTCCATGAATTCCTACACAAAGTTACTTTAGAATTTTTTTAAGCCAGAAAAATCCGCAGTTGAAATAAAAAATGGATTTTAAATTACCACTGAATGAAGGTGCTGACGAAGTGGAAAGGTCACCTTGAAATATGGACTTTAAAACCGCAGAGGTGAAACCCACCGCCTCAATCACAACAGGCATGCTGATTGCACATTGACGTTGTAGGAATGTCCGCAATGTAAAAAAAAAGTTCCCCGTACTCCGTCCGATTAAAAATGCTGTGCAGCTGCTCAGGTGTTCCGGAATAGCTACGCAAAACCTAACAAAGGCCCAATGTCTATTTTTTGCTCAAACAGGTGTTCCTGCAAAAACGGCTATGACCTGGGTCCGTAAGGAACATACAATCATTATGAAGGAACATTACACGTTGGCGCGCATTTCTTAAAAAAAGTGTTTTTGTCAGTAAAATTTTAACTACAAGCAAAAAAACCCTCAACATTCCAAACCTGCAATAATTTCATCGTCCAGTCATTAACCAATAGTTTTCAACATGATAAAACCAGTGCTAAAATATATACAGAACTGCATGTTGAATTTCGATTTAAAGCTTTCGTGACTGCAGGGATTAATATTCTTGGTTCTTTCGGTAAAGTTACGTAAAGGGAAATAATAAAATGATAAAAATAAAACAAAAAAATCGCCACTTTTTTCAAAAATTTCTTGCTGTGGTTTTCACACCTGATGAGGATTGCTTGTGTTGAAATCGAAACGTGAGAATTTTATTTTTATTATTTCCCTTCTACGTGACTTTACCGAAAGAACCATGAATATGAACTACATGTTTGTTAAAGGGATACGCTCATTAAAAATGGATAAGGCAGCTGATAATCGGCAAGGCGATTACTGTTAGCGACAGAGTCGAAAACGGCAATTTTTTTCAAATGTTACGTAGTTGTTTAAGAGAGAATCATCGCAATTGGCTAAAAACAATAGCAATCCACAGCGCGAATGCAGCGTTGGGCATGCATTCGTGACATTACCCTGGTCTCTCCTAATCACTGTACTTGTGGAAGGATGCTAATTCTTACGGAGCAGCGCTGCGTAAAGACAGCAATTTATTCCGTACTAACCAATATAGTTTTGTAAACCTGTATACAATTAACTTTATTTTACTAATTAAAATGTTCAACTCAAATTCTCAGCTTTTTCTCCCCTTTGACCAGTGCACATCACAAATACCACAACTGCCAACCCTAAAAGATGTTAAGCGCCAAGCTGCCATTTGTTTGGTACATTTACCACTTTGAGAAAATATTTTGACAATTTTCGTTTTTCAACTTAACGTTATGCGATAAATTGATTTAAACATTGCCAGTCTGCCGTAGAGTTTGCAAGTATGCTGTTCCATACAATTCATGCAGTGTCCTCCGAGACAGTCTTTTAACCAGAAAAATACTTACACGTCTTGTTTTGATCGCGCAAATCAAGTGCAGAAACTCCCTGAATTTAACTACAAAGAGGGCACAAGCATGAATTCTGATGTTTAACTGCCCTTTTGGCAATACAATCCAAAAGCGTAAATAGGTGACGTTGAGAAGTAGGAAGAGGGGATTTCAGAGTTCGGCAAGGCTAAGAGAGAGGGGGATTTGGGGATTTCTTGATGCAAGGATAAAAAAGTCCAGATGGTGCAGCGCTGCTCGTTTCATTGACATGCGCACACCAGTCAGCTTTACCTGTAGGTGGGCACCTCGCAGGCAAAGGCACCGGTGCCCTCAGCCCTCTGCATTCCAGAAAGCTGGCAGATTTAAAAGAACAAAATAACTCTCTGCATGGAGACAGTCCAACGAACGCTCCTTGTGATGTACACGTTGTTGTACATGTGTATAGTAACCCCCATGCTGGTCATGGCGGTTATTATGGAACCCCTGGTCAAGCCACTGCCAGATGAGGGCCTCAGGACGCCATGCGAGTCACGGGGGGGGGGGGGGGGGGGGGGGGCAGTTATTTGGCCAGTGTGGGTTTGGCGAAAGTGGGCAGCATAGATGCGGGAATGTGTACCGTACAATAATAGATTTTGCTGCGATGCACTCTGCTGGCAGCAGCCTAGAACGCCTGTCATGCATGGCAATCCTTCATACAAGCACGACCTCGGCTCAACCCCGCTTGCAGTAATTGCACATTACAAATACACCACCGGGTGCACTGAACCCAACGCCATCTCACATTCTGATTTTCTCTCGGTAAAAAAAAAAATTGACAATAAAAATCCTCCGAGCAGCTCTGAGCATCAGCCGAGCACTTAAATAACACATCAGTGCAGAGGGGGTGTGGGGTCGAGGGTGCAATTGAGATGGGGAAGAGAGATGATGGCGAGGGTACCTTGCAGAGCTGAGGATCAAAATCGATTACATTGATGGAAAATTGTCATCGATTATTTTTCCTGGTCGATTATTCTGGCCCTACTTAATATTGATGGCCACCCTGACATCCTGCCTCCCGAAAGCGGGAAACCCCCTACGAGCCTCAACCAGCGTGATGGGGCTGGTGATGATGTCAACAAGCCCCGCCCATCACCTCCTATCCAGCGGCACACATGGGAACAGAGGTGAGACTTACCCCCACCCCCCAATTGGGTGTTTTCTGATTCGTCGACCAATCGCTTTTTTACATAATCGGTGAGGCCAGCTCGAGCACCTTTAAATGCAGGCGGAATCGCCATGCCATAGGGCTGGGTTGGTTCGTGTTTATTGCCAGTGTCGCCGGGGCGAGGGCGGCTCTCGTCCCCCCATTAGTGCTGCCTGCTCCCACCACCCCCCTCCGGTCCCAACACAATGCGGCGAACGGACTCCACCGTCTACGGTAGCGAGTTGAGAACGTGCTTCTTGGGGGCAATGGACCCCCGGTCCTTCTCCATGAGGGCGGCGTCGACGTGACCGTGGGTGTTGACCGAGCAGCTGCGTCTCGGCATGCCTACGCAGGATGATGGGTGGGGACAAAGACAAATCCAAGCACCCGCCGTGAGAACAAGGGATAGCAAAAATAAAATCAAGTTTAAATTTCAAACTAAATATATAATCATAACATATTTTACCAGATAAGCCCCACTGAGCTATATAGATCTTTTTCAGAAGCAACCTGGCTATCACAAATGATAGCCCAATTAAGTGGCTCATCATGCGGAAATTTATAGCAGCCAAAAAATCGAAATGCATGTTGATTCTAAATGTGGAGGGAAGAACCAGAAAACCCATAGAAACATCCATGCGACCACAGGGAGAGCATGCAGGGTTGGGATCGAACCCACAACCTCCTGTATACCAGGCGAGGTAGTTCACATCTTGCCACCACGGTGCCCTCTGGCCTGATAATTCATGGATGAAGGCCTCCCTCCCCAAGCCGCTGCCATCTCTCACGAACCCGTGATGTAGCAATCCACCTCGCGCCCGATTTCATTGCTCCGTCTCCGTGGTGGACGAAACCTCTCAGGAACGTGCCCCTCCATGGCGGCCACTCCATTGCTCGTCTCGACCCACCGGCCATCGAACCCACTTCTTTTTCTCAACAGGCAAAATAACTGATTGTAACCTTAGTGAGTTCTCAAATCCACGCGTTCCTCTTCCTGCCTCTCAGTGCAAGTCAAAGCATACACCCCTCGCCATGTTTCTCTGTGCAATTTTCAGACTTTTTGTTCCGTTTTCTTAGTCAATTTCCATGTTTCTGATCGGCAGGCGATTTACGCCGATTAAAAAACGTGTGCAAGTAATACCTCGTGCAGCCAGCTATGGCTGCAAAGTTTGGTTGTACATGTTATGTATATCGTTTATTGTTAAATTTGAATCACAGCTCCTATGATCAATGTTACATTGTTTTTTATAGCTTTTGTGATTTTGAAAAAGTTTTGGTTTAGCCATGTTTGTTTGTTGTAGTACAGAGTTAGCCTGATAACTGTAATCTACATTGTCTTATGGTTGTTATTGTTTGACTTGCATCCCACTGGGATTTTTGCACACAGCGTTTGAATACGGTGTTTTTTTCTGGAAGACTTTTGCTGTTTTTTCCTGGATTTTTCTGTTGCGTGTAGTCACTTTAAGATGTTTTTTGTTCATGTTTTTGTTTTGTTGCGGTTGCACCAGAATCAAGAGCCGCATGGCTCACAGGGTTTTTCTTGCTGTGGCTTTCAAACCTGATGATGATTGCTTGTGTTGCAGTCGAAACGTCGTGAGAATTTTATTGTTTTATATTTATATTGTTTCGCTTCTACGTGACTTTACCGAAATAACCAATAATATATAGGGTTATACATAATAAATGAAACTGAAAAACAAGGCATATGCGTTCCACGATCTCACTTCGTTATCAGAAACTTCGTTACCAGAGTTAGATATAACGTGGGAGGCATCAGGATGCTTTCCAGGACTTCAGAGAAGAGGGGAGGGGGGTAACAATAAAAAAAACATTGTTGTACAGTTGCACTTGGTCTGTCTGATTGGTTTAAAGTGGCATTTTAAGGTGGACTGCGCCAACCAGAACGACCGCGCCACCTCACTTGTCATCTCTCCCACCTTTTCCCAAAAGAGATGGATTCATGCCTCACTTTTTGCCCAGTAAGGCCGCTTAGCACTAGATGATCATCAGTTGCATGCCATAAATAGGGGTAGTAAAAAAAATCACTTCATCACTGCAAAAAAAATACACAATCACATTTTACCAAAACGAGGTAGCTCGTGCAATGGAGGGCCGGAAAGAGGGAAGGCTGGGGAAGCACACCGCTGATTGTGCCAAGTGAGGAAGACTCGCAAAGCTCTATACAGTCGACGAACTCCACTCGGTCGCGCTTACAGAACACGCATGGCGATCGGATTATTCAGGAGCTTCGTTCCGAGAGAATTCATTAACAGAGGTATTACTGTGTTCCGGCAAATTGGTAAGGTGCGTTTCATCATCAAGTCCGGCTTTCAAAAACCACACCAACTCGCCTACCCCTCTTTCGTTTCATCACAGATATGCACACCTGTTAATCGTTCCATGTGCGTGTCTTTTTTTACCGGACCTCAGTAATTATATTGTCTTGTGGAGTTACAGTGACGGAAAAAAGTATTTGATCCCCTGCTGATTTTGTACGTTTGCCCACTGACGAAGAAATGATCAGTCTATAATTATAATGGTAGGTTTATTTGAACAGTGAGAGACAGAATAACAACAAAAAAATCCAGAAAAACGCATGTCAAAAATGTTATAAATTGATTTGCATTCTAATGAGGGAAATAAGTATTTGACCCCTCTGCAAAACATGACTTAGTACTTGGTGGCAAAACCCTTGTTGGCAATCACAGAGGTCAGACATTTCTTGTAGTTGGCCACCAGGTTTGCACACATCTCAGGAGGGATTTTGTCCCACTCCTCTTTGCAGATCTTCTCCAAGTCATTAAGGTTTCGAGGCTGACGTTCGGCAACTCGAACCTTCAGCTCCCTCCACAGATTTTGTATGGGATTAAGGTCTGGAGACTGGCGAGGCCACTCCAGGACCTTAATGTGCTTCTTCTTGAGCCACTCCTTTGTTGCCTTGGCCGTGTGTTTTGAGTCATTGTCATGCTGGAATACCCATCCCCAACCCATTTCCAATGCCCTGGCTGAGGGAAGGAGGTTGTCACCCAAGATTTGACGGTACATGCCCCCGTCCATCGTCCCTTTGGTGTGGTGAAGTTGTCCTGTCCCCTTAGCAGAAAAACACCCCCAAATCATAATGTTTCCACCTCCATGTTTGACGGTGGGGATGGTGTTCTTGGGGTCATAGGCAGCATTCCTCCTCTTCCAAACACGGCGAGTTGAGATGATGCCAAAGAGCTCCAATTTGGTCTCATCTGACCACAACACTTTCACCCAGTTGTCCTCTGAATCATTCAGATGTTCATTGGCAAACTTCAGAGGGGCATGTATATGTGCTTTCTTGAGCAGGGGGACCTTGCGGGCGCTGCAGGATTTCAGTCCTTCACGGCGTAGTGTGTTACCAATTATTTTCTTGGTGACTATGGTCCCAGCTGCCTTCAGATCATTGACAAGATCCTCCCGTGTAGTTCTGGGCTGATTCTTCACCGTTCTCATGATCATTGCAACTCCACGAGGTAAGATCTTGCATGGAGCCCCAGGCTGAGGGAGATTGACAGTTATTTTGTGTTTCTTCCATTTGCGAATAATAGCACCAACTGTTGTCACCTTCTCACCAAGCTGCTTGGCAATGGTCTTGTAGCCCATTCCAAACTTGTGTAGGTCTACAATCTTGTCCCTGACATCCTTGGAGAGCTCTTTGGTCTTGGCCATGGTGGAGAGTTTGGAATCTGATTGATTGATTGCTTCTGTGGACAGGTGTCTTTTATACAGGTAACAAGCTGAGATTAGGAGCACTCCCTTTAAGAGTGTGCTCCTAATCTCAGCTCGTTACCTGTATAAAAGACACCTGCGAGCCATAAATCTTTCTGATTGAGAGGGGGTCAAATACTTATTTCCCTCATTAAAATGCAAGTCAATTTATAAAATTTGACATGCGTTTTTCAGGATTTTTTTGTTGTTATTCTGTCTCTCACTGTTCAAATAAACCTACCATTAAAATTATAGACTGATCATTTCTTCGTCAGCGGGCAAACGTACAAAATCAGCAGGGGATAAAATACTTTTTCCCTCACTGTATGACGCGCTGGTACAAAGTACAATGTTGCAAAATGGGCTCATAAGTGAACACGGAAGCACCACCTTTACTGAAACAGGAAATAAAATATATATGGATCTGTATTTTTAGCTAATTTCTTATTCTGTTTTTGCATATGGCAATATATTCAGGAGCTAAATGCCAATGTCGAGGTCTGTTGCTAGCCACGATGAGAGGGCTTCAAGAGAGAGTTCGTGGAGTTTTGCTAATCCAACTCCTAAGCTAAAGGAGTGCAGACTATGTGGTTTACAACATGGTTAATAGTTTGTGTTGCATGGCCACGTTTGCACTACTGTGGCTTGTCTTTATTTTTCAATCCACGAATGTCAAATCCAGGAGGGCCGATTTTTGGGCCTTGGAGGCAGTGCCGGCGGTCGTAAATTTTCATTAATAACCATGGCAAGATCTCAGCCTTCACTGTGAATGATCAAAACTATAATGAAGAGGAGCATAATGACGATAACAATAATGATAATATAGGTAATTGTAATTGTGGTGTTGATGACGTAGGTTTAAGCCAGTAGTTTTAAATATTTTGGTATGGCTGCCCCCCCCACCCAACGAGTACCAATTTGTCCTTCCCAGGTTAAGGTCACAATACGCAGGGCGATCACATGAACACTACTCTTGCCACTGTGACGTTACCAAGGCATTTGCTTCATATTGTGCTGTCTGTCGCCGCAACGTGGCGCTGATGTTCCCCGCGTCCATAAAAAGTTTATCCTGCACGATATCCATGCTGCACGCTGCATCCCCCCCCCCACACCCCTCCTGCCAAAATGGATGCTCAACCCACTGGTTGAAAACTGCTGTGTAAGTTGAGAATGTGGTGGTAATGGCGAAGAAGAATTTGATCAAGTTAATTTCTGACAGTGATGATGTCGACGACGATGCCGATGGTGACGGGACTGATAATTGAACCCCGAGACCCCGGACGCCGAGCCAAGAGCCACGTCCCATCCTTCCCACGCCCGCAAGACCCTGCGGGGCTCAGGCACTCACGCGCGACGCCACTCGTGGCAAGATGTTAACTCCCTCGCCTGGTATGCAGGAGGTCCTGGGTTCGATTCCAACCCCAAAGCCTGTATATTTGGAGTTTGCATGTCTCTCCCCCCGTGGTCGTGTGGATTTTTCTCTGGGTCCTCCGGATTTTCCCTCCACATTTAGAATTACCGTGCATTTAGAGTATTTGGCCGCTATGAATTTCCACGTGATAAGCCACTTCGTTGAGCTATCATTTGTGGCCAGGTTACTTCTGGAAAAAAGAGCTACATAGCTCAGTGGGCCTTACCTGGTGAAATAAAAAAAAATAGTTTTAGTTTAGTCACGAGCATCAGGCACCTGCGGCTCCCGGGGGCGGCCGCTGTCTGTGCACAGCAGCACCGAGCGTCTCCGCGGCGACGTCGGAGTGCGAGCGGAGCCTTGGGCCAGCGCTGCCTGGAGACTGCGCTAGTGACAGCCAGTGCTGCTGCACCCAAGCGCGTGTCCCGCACTGGCAGGCGGACAGCAGCAGGCCCTGAGTGAGAGGTGGGAGGGGAGAAGTGAGGACGAGGGCTGTCTCCCCATGTCCGTTCCAAAGCAGAGCAACCAATAAAGGCGACATGGTGGTTCTGACAAAATGTCACCAGGTTTGTTCAGAACATATGGAAATGTTGTTGCGGTCACTCCATCTCGTTGTGTGCAGGATTCCTTCGTTATTCACTTGCGATCCGCGATTTTGTCTATCTGCGAATCACATCTGGACCTCTACATGACTGCATCGAGAGAGAGAAATGAAGTGACGAGATAATTCTGCCAGCCCTTCAGTTAAGTTTATATTGAAATACGCTGCGAGCCAAGAAGCTCTTAAATCGTCTCTGGAGGATCCGGATGATCCCCAGTCTATCCAAATGTATCTTATGTAGGAGCAGTAATGACATCAGAATGATCATGATGATCATCACTATCATCGGCGTCAGCATCATTGTTACTGCATCCTACTACTGTGGAGCATAATCATAATTTAAGTTAGGTTCATTTGTAAACTATTATTTAATACTTTCATATTTTTATATTTAATTTACGTTTATTATAACCAATTTAAAAAAATGTATTTAACAGCTTATTTATGTATTTATTTAAGGTAATTCATTCAAAAGATGCATTTTCGTAGGCCAATATCATTATCCGCAAAATGTAATATTCACGAGCATCTCCGGAACGCATCCCTTGCGAAGAACGAGGGAACCCTGCACTCCATTTGAACGCAATTCAAGTTTCATCATTTGGATACTGTTGAGGAGCACGTGTATGTTGGGAGTATCTCCACCTCAGAGGGAAATGAGGCCGAATGAAGAAGTTTGAGCCCGAGCGACGGGTTACTAAAAATTATCGAAGAGCAGACGAGAAAGGTGCACTAGGAGAAGGGCTAAGAGGAAGATGCCACCAGTGCAGGGCAGACAGCAGTATAGGAGGGAAGACAGAGGGTGAGAGGGGAGGATGCGGATCAGATGAGACACGATGGTGGGTGCGACTGGAGAAGAGGCGCAGAACGGAAGCCAACGGAGAGAGGAAATTCTGTGCAGCCAACCCCCCACAACAAGAGCAGGACCAGAGCGGGGGGCCTAAGAGCAACAAGAGACTGAAACATATTCAAGGTTTATTATGCCGTGGAGGGAAGACGGTGGCAGGGGGGGACAGGGGAATTAAAGGAGGCAAAGTTACCCACACGGGCCTTGGAGTGGCACCAGAGGGGAAGTTCTAAAGCCGAATTGGGGAGGAACTTCCACAAGTGAGGTCATCTCACTCTCCAATTAGTCTCGAATTGATTAATCTATATTAATAAACTCCACACACATTAAATTTATACGTGTATTACACGCGTGAACATTTGTTTAAATAAACGAAATACTTCATAATTTCATGCCCGTATTATCAAGCTTATGCACACACACTGAACATTGCATCAGTATTTCCCCTTGTGGTTTCAATGTCAACACTTTGTGAGGGGTGTCAACAGTGGCTCACCTATAAATACACTCACCCCCTACCAGAGGAATGTGGAATTTCCACCACTGGCTCACGGCCGTTAAAAGGAGATGGGCACCATCTCGCTGAACATTTTGGAGCAGGAAATAACTTCGGACATTATTTTTTCCTGGACGCAAAAGTGACCGTGAGGAAATGCACGAGCAAATCGGAGTGCGGGGCCTTTTGTGGCATCAGGACTGACCTGTTGGAACCTCTGGGCCTGTAGGTCACTTTGTAGATGCACGAGCTGCTGCTGGAGCCTTCTGTTGGCCTCATTGAGGTGCCCCATCTTCTCCATGAGGCGGCACAGCTGGTCCAGGTGGCACAGTCCCATGCCCACGCCCACTGCTGCAGCAGCTTTTACCTGAACGCCGGCCAGTAACGGTCGATTACACACCTGGGCCCATGTGATCAATAAGTGGCGGCGGCAGCAACAGCTATCGCAGAAGCAGCAATAGCAGCATCAGCAATAGCATTAGCAGCACCAGCAGTAAAAGCATCAGCGATAGTAGGCAGCACCATCAACAGCATCAGCAACAGCAGTAGTAGAAATAGCACATGCAGAAGTAGCATCGGTCAGACATAACAAAGCGTCATGAAACACAACGTCTTGGACATAAGCTGGCCAACACACACCAACTGTTACACAGACGTGAACGGCGACAAATTGCATTCGCGCTTTCCGAATAAGGTAAAAATTGTGTTCGTTAACTCTGTTCGTCTGCCTGTAAAGGCCGCAGCAGCTGGGAAGTGGGGGGGGGGACGACGACTCTCGTAAAAACAAGCCAATGTGAACGGAACTTTAGTCGAAAGTAGCATTGCTATTCGGAACTTACCAGAGAAAACTGGCCACATTGATTAAAGGATTACCAAGCTCTCGCGAGACACGCCATAGCACAAAGTGCTGTGGCATGCAAACACGCAAACGTGTTTTGCCCCCCGACAGCTAAATTCAATAAGTCTGAGGACAAAGGAACGTTGGAAAGTGCTGCACACTCCATGCATTTGTCATGGCTATTGGGTAACCTGTTGCTTGTAGCAGAGATGCCTTAGCAACCTAACCCTATGGTTATTTTTCATCACCAAGGCCAAAAGATTTAACATTAACCAGTGGAAATGGTGTTCATGCACGACCCAATTCTAGCCAGACTGATCTAGGCCTCAAAAGCAATGACCTTGGACCACAGTTTGGTTTGCAGCTCGGCATCACACGCACGAACACTGACGTTCCCAACTGCTGTGCAGATCAACTATGATTACCATCGCAGAACACATTAATGTAATACGCAGCGATAACCTAAATCAACACCCACATTTATCATTAGAATTGCCTCAGCTCAGCAGGCGGTTTAGAAGTGGATACCATTTTATTGAGACGATTGCCTCGATATTCCTTTGTTAATATTTTGACCATTTATATTAAATGTCTTCGTTTCTCCAGTCGAGTTTTCAGAAAACATCTTCGAATGTCGCTGTAAATCACTTTGGCAGAGCTGTCACTCCCTATCCAACTCCCATTTGAAGGTATTATCGATCGAGCCACTTTCAACATGTAACCTGTTTTCCCATTTTTGTAAATGGTCTTTAATCACGTGTATTATTTCAATTTAGGCCCTGGTAGGTATATATCCACTGCCGAGACGGAGCAATGAAATCAGCTCGTGCCACAGGTAGGCCTCGGCAACGTAAGGTAAAAGGTAAAAACAACGAGCCTACCTTTACCCTACCTTTTACCCTTACCCCATACAAATTACCCGATTACAGGGTAATTACTGGGGTACTACACATGAAAAAGGTTTATAGCAGGTAAATGCTAGGTAGAGCGCTTTATTCACATAGAATACTCTCGATTATTCCAATATTACACGCTTTCTTTAAACTCACTGTCTGTTGTTGTTGTTGTCGTTGTATCCTCAAATCTTGTAACTCAATTTTAACCCACTTCTCAATGTGCTATCGACTGCAAACTTGGTATACTTATGTCATACTGATGACAATACTATATTCTATCATTAAAATATATTTTTAAACATTATTTTTTATATGTTATGTTTCAGCTTGGGTCTAATTGTCCACGGTCAACGGACGTTGGCTGTAATTGGCCACGGTTCCTTACATTGTGGCAAGCTTCGGGGCCACTTCCTGGAGTCGTGGAGTTCTGCCATTACTCGTACATTTCATTAAAGCGTGTTTTTAAAAAAGTTATTAAAAAAATATTACTCATTAAATGGAAGCCACGGACTGCACCACGGAGCTTTTAGCAGTAAACAATGTACCGTATTTACCGGGTAATACTTCGCGCTACCTTTACCCTACCAGGTAATTCTTCCGAGCTACCTTTACCCTACCCTTTACCTTACCCCTTGGCATGTCGACACCTTTACCCTTTACACTTTTACCCGGTAAAAAGGGTAAATTACCTTACCTTGCCGAGGCCTAGCCACAGGTGCTACTAGATCGATTGTAACTTCGCAAGACAGCGAGATATGCCGACAGCTGGGGAGGCCTTCAGTCAGCAGTGGATTGATCACAGCCGATGAAGATTCCTTTTTTTGTACCTCTTTTCTGTGTGTACCTACTAAACTGGCAATCAAAAACCAGGACCCGCAAACATGAAGCAAATGTGTCCATATGACAGCCGCCATTCACTGCGGCACTTATAACAGGCCAGGTGCACTTTGAGGTCACGTGAAGTGTCTAAGGCTTGCTGGCAGGGTGTCACGGGACAGACCTGAGCGTTATGGGTTAATGGAGATGACTGGACATATCAGGACATACACACATACATAGAGTACATGCATGCGTACCAAATTATTTCTAATAACCAAGACCAAAAATGTGGTTTGGCTGCTTAGCTATAGAATACCTGCTCTTGAATGTAAATGCAGACGGCGGGTGACTAGCTCGTCTTGGGCCACCTTTAGGTGTTACACACTACAATTGGTGTCAACAAGGCTTAAGCCAAGGCTTCCCCTTCCTGACAGGGGCTCACAGCCTTTTGGCTCAAAGCGGAGTGCTTATCCCAACTACTGCTGCCGCCGCTCGCCACTAAGCATGTAAAACGGCTCGGAACTACTCAACGGTGGCAGTAAGCCTGGGACTCGGATCAGACCGCCTTACATCGCCAATACAAATCTGTTACGCTTGTACATAGGGCCGCAGCCAGGCAGATTACCTTGGATCAGGTTCAATAGATCGGTGCGGGGCAACGGTTTATTTGGCAGCCAGGTGGGTTGGGTAATGCGGAGAGACAAAGATGACGATTTTGACCACGGTGAAGCGTGAATAGCCCACCTGAACACGGCGCTCATGCGGTCCGTCAGTGCAATCCGCGCTCTTCTCCTTCAGCGGTCGCTCCGTCTCCACTCCCATACGATGCTCGCCCGTCTCTCTATGCCTCCTGCCCGCTACTTGCGAGTCACCCAGTGTCGGCTTTCTGTCCGATGATGCCCCGCTCGCAACCTCGTCTTCAGACTGTACTGAAGGCTTCCGGACACCATCCTCGTCCACGAGCTCGAGTCTCTGAGCTTCCCCAGACTCGTGGCCTCGTGGATATTTCCCCGCTGCTTTCCTGCCTCTTCGAGGCCGAGCCGACGGACGGCGCCCGCCAGGCAGGTCTGAGAGCACCGCGACCGGCAATCCGTCGACAGAGCCGGACACGCTGCCGGGAGCACCGTTCCGATGCCTCAAGGGCGCCGTCGTCACGGCCGGGTCGTTGTCATCGGCATCGTCGTTATCGTTGGCGGCAGCGACGACTACCACGGCTGTTCCCGGGGACGGAGGAGCGCTACTCGAGACTTCAACGCCAGAGTCGTGCGAGCAGCGGGTGCGCAAGCTGCGGCTGATCCTCCACGCGGCCCGCGAAGTTTTTCGGTGGAAGGGGAAGCCGGGGATGCCATGGCGGCCGCCCGCATACCAGGGCCGCCGCACAGGGCTGCGGTCCGGCGCGGGCCCCACACTAAGCAGGGTCACGGCGGGGACGCCGCCGCCGGTGTTTTCTGTGACAGAGCGCGGGGTCGGCAGCGTCAGGGTTAGGTGCCGAGTACACTGCATACTGTGTCAACCCATATGGGTTACCCCGTATTCTTGTACAGGAAACGAAGTTTTCAGATCCATATGGCATACAGCCATTTAAATACGGGCAACAAAAAAATAATTGGCTCATTGTTTGTGTTTCTCTCTTGTGATGGGACTTTGTAGGGTGAACGTTGAGATTTATAAGGGCACAGGGTGACCAATGAGGTCTGATAAGAGGTTGACAAGTATCGCACTGCATGGGAGGTGCGATAATGAATAAAGATCATGATGATTGATGGATAGGAGGCAAGGAAGTAGGTTAATCAAACATGCATCATAAGTAGGCGTGCATCTTCTTGGTTCTTTCGGTAAAGTCACGTAGAATGGAAATAAAATAATAAAAGTAAAACATAATTTTATTATTTTATTTCCATTCTACGTGACTTTACCGAAAGAACCAAGAAGATGAATCCCTGCAGTCACGAAAGCTTTAAATCGAAAAAAGTAGGAGTGCGTTAATGGCAATGCAGTTGTTTTTATATCAGATGTGCAATAGATCTGGGACCCATGGGGCCAGAGGGGACAAGATACCACAATGGCGAGATATTATCTCCTTTGCCTGGTATGCAGGAAATCGGGGGTTCGATCCCAATCCTGGCTCCTGTATATTTGGAGTTTGTGTATCTCTCTCTCTCCGTGGTCATGTGGATTTTTTTTATCCAAGGTCCTCCAATTTTGCCCCCCACATTTATAAAAATACACTGAGATTATTTTGATAATTTGCCTGCTAGACATTGATAATTATTTGCCACTTCGTTGAGCTATCTTTATTGGGCAGGTTGCTTTTAAAAAATAAGTTAAAATCTCAGTGGGCTTTAGTTGGTAAAATAAAATGTTTTTTTGTGTGATTTGCTTACCTTTCCTATACTTTGCACTCCTGTCGTGTTTTTGTATTGTTTGTTGTTGTAACTTTCTGGCCCCATGTCCCTACTGGACATCTGTGAATAAAAACTTTATAGCTCATCAGATTCCTCCAGTATAAATAAAGATTCTGAGGTGCTTTGGCTACTAAGTCCCAAGTCCAGCCATCAGATGTACTTCTGCGGCCGTTCTGGTATTATGAAGCCACTGGAGCTATGCACTTTTAAATCATCTAGATTGAAAACTAATGTCTTGAGAACTGCTTTTTGTGTTTAGCTTGTTGTCCTTCCCCCACACCTCCAATTAGTACGGATGGCTACGTACGGTGATAAAGAAGTTTAAGATAAATACGTACATAAATGCCAGCCAATGCTATGCCACTGGTACAAGGCCTTAGTGAAAGTGTATGGTGTGGTTAAAGAAATGCATAAAAAAACGTGATCAATCAAATCTAAATCCGAGAGAGTCTTCAAGTGCATGACAATTCGATTTATTTACGTTACTCCGAATATTTTTTTGTTATTGCAGTTTCTGAATAGAGGACGAAAGCCTTACATCAAAGTGACTGCCACCAACTCCGAGGGACTACATACAATATAGATAATAAAGTAAATTGCAATTAAGTAATGAATATAAAACACTCCTCATTGCTACACGGCAACTCCTTGTTCTACACTGTACGAAATTAATACGGCACATATAACTGCGATGATGAAGTCTGCTCAACTTAGAGATCATAACAATGTCGATGATAACAAGAACGCGTCATTTCAGCAATTGCCTTGGGCCCTTCTGAAAGGATGAGCTTGGGGCAGCACAAAATAAAGCCGCTGGGCCAGCGCTGCGTGAACCTGATGACTGCCAATCATGGGGAAGCTGTATCATGGTGGGGAGGGGAGGTCGCGACAACTGGAGATCAATCAATATCTATTTACACAGCGCACTTCAATGCCATCTCAGGGCGATTTACATGGCAATCGCTGATCTCGTCAAAGGAGCATAAACCATTCACCGGAACTCCGGTCATCCTCGCAGCAGCGGCTTTCGGCTAACCATCGAACAAAGACGGTCACCGCATCGCGCGCTTTAAGTTGCGTTTCTGCGGCCATCTGGAATGCTCTTCCTTCCGATAAAAGGAAGCCACTGGAGCTATGCACTTTTCAATCCAAATTAAAAACTCGTTTATTTTTGTGTTTAGTTTGTTGTCCTTTCCCCGCACCTCCGATTAGCACGGTTGGCTACGTATGGTGAAAAAGTTAAACATACATACGTGCATGAATGTCAAACACCTCCAAAATTTCACGACAAATACGTGACAGTTTAAAATAAAAAAGCAATGTGCCCAAGGTAATGAACTTTAAAACGAATAAAATCTCATTACATTATAATAACCATTATGCTTGTTTTTCCACGAGATTCCTGCCAAGTTTTTCACAGTGGAGGTGATGTTGCTTTAAGTAATAGCAATTGTGTAATTTATAGGTAGTTTTAAATCACTAGGATGTTTGACCAGTACCAGTTATATTGTCTATGTTAAGCTATAGAAGAAACCTGGTAGAAAACACATGCAGAATATGTGTAGAAACATTAACGCTCCACATACAAAAGGCACTCGACTCTTGCATCGAACCGAGGCCCTTGTTGAGGAACTGGCATTACCACCGAGCCACTCCTGCCACCTCAATTCAGCTGAACGACTACGAATCAAGGGAATGACGCACGTGCGTTCAACTTTTTACGCGCCTTACGTAGCCAACCATGCTAATCGGAGGTTTTGGATGAAAAGACAACAAAATGACGCAGATACCTAGCTGGCCTCGTGCATTTGCGCGAAACTACAGATGCAACACAGCGATGGGCATGGTGAACATGAGCAGGCATGGACTGTGGAGGGCAACAACATGGGTGGCAGTGATTATGCTCAAGTTACTGCCGTCCCAGTGTCCTCCATTGATTCAGGTGGACGACCTCCCACCAAAGTCTACTTTTGTGCATGGACTGTGGAGGGCAACAACATGGGTGGCAGTGATTATGCTCAAGTTACTGCCGTCCCAGTGTCCTCCATTGATTCAGGTGGACGACCTCCCACCAAAGTCTACTTTTGTGCAAGGTCAGACAAATGTCCAGGAGTCACCACAAACAATGGACTCGTCCGTCCACCTCTCTATACGTCATACGTTAGGCCGAAGGATCCGCGGGAAAGCAATTCGCGCAATTAGAGTAAAAAAAAATAAACAGAGGCTGCCACTTTGAAGCGAATTTGTCACGTTGCAAAAACGCTAAGTGCCACGCGTCATGCAGTTGGCGCGATTAACACGCCGGAGTGTAAAACACGCATATTAGTGGTGTCGAGTTTACACCGACCTCTGGACAATGCGGAACCTCCAGTGACCTCGGCCACTGAGGAGTCACATTGTTCACCAATATTCCTATAACTGTGCTAAAGCCTACTATTAAGAGTGGCGCCAAAGATTCCAACCTTAACGACTTGCTAATACTGTACACACAAGCGTGTGCGGCAGTATAGAGGTGACAAAATGACAATTACAGATGGACAAAATTGAGACATGGGGACAAAATTGATAGGGGAATGTTCTAGCAACACGGGCTGTACGGTGGCATAGTGGCTATCATGGTGCACTGTGACTCGGGTAACTCGAGTTTGATTCCTGGCCATGGCCACATCAGCGGGCGAGTTAATACCTGAACCCGGTCCTGGGTCACACTTCTCACAACCAGCACTAACCATGAGGTTGGTGAAGTGTGGTCAGAAAACAGGATGACTGACATAGCGAGGCCTTTCATCACTCACCACCGATGTTAGCCATGGCTGGAAATCTCACTCGGATTGCCGGGTCCATAACACAGCATGCCAAACACTGCACCTCCGCTCCCCTTCATATTGAACATGCAAATACTTTTTGCTTGTGACCAATTTAAAATATCAGTCCTTGTTATTATATACAGACATTAAATTTCTTAAATATACTTTTCTATGATCAATTAACCTAATCTCAGAAGCCAAGCAGGAGGTTTGCACCTGGGTGGCAGTGTTTCTATGGTTAACCACCGTGTGTGCAAATCAGGGTCGTCACAGGTTTGACCCGTCACGGAGCTGTGTGGTGGGCAGCAGAGGATTCGTGGAGCAATATCAACCTATATAGTATACACACTATATAGACACACATATATGTAGGATGGACAACAACAGTATACTTAAAAGTGTGTTGTTTGGGGAAAATGGAAGGAACCGAAAATAGAGGAAGACCTAATGGAGAATTCCTTGATGACAACCACAAGAGATCGGTGCCAGAAAGATTTGCGCACTACTTGAGCAGATTGGCACAAGGCAAGTGGAAACAAATTGACGAAACGTGCAGTGGACACTACAGGCTATCTGCCCATGGATCATGGTGATAATAATGAGGACTTCTAAGGTCCCACATTTACGATGCCCCCCCCCCCAATAACCACGACAATCTGCCACCATCCCCAAAGTGTAAAGAAGTCCTCATCCAGCAGTGGGTTCACAGGAAGTGCGGTTTGTGTACTTGTTCGTATTCTCACCGGTGTGGTTCAGGCCAGGGATGACGAACACGTCCTTTCTCTTGCGGAACATCCTCGGCGGTGGCACTTCGAGTCCAGAAAGAGAGGACGGTTGAGCGACGATAACGCTGTCTGGTAAAAGGGGGGGTTGTTTGTTAGCAAACTCCAAAATCGCTGCAAAAACGAAGCGAGGGACACATTCCTGCGTTGTTATGAAGACATTGAGCGGGGTGGTCAATGCTTGGAGACGCGGTGCAAGTGGAGACATTCATTTGGCACATTCATTACATTCTATGTAGCTGTGATAAAGCCAGCACCAGCACTGAACCCGTCCACGATTATCGTGATCAACATAGAGAGAAAAGATTACGGTCATACGTAATGGGTGTAAAACTCATTGCCCTCCTATATACCAATACATTATGTAACATACTGCCATTAGAAATGTATGAATGTTGAACTTTCGCACACGTACATAGCCAAATGTGCTAATTGGAGGTGCGAAATATATTTGTATTACGGACGTACTGTAATTTGAACGTAGTTTTTAACTTGGATTGCCGAGCCACAAGCTCAACGGCCCACAAAGCGCCTATTGAAGATGTAACAGAAAATAGATTTTTAAACTAAGCAGGAATATAATTACCGTAAGCGAATGGCTCTCTAAATCCACCGCGGGAGCCGTTCAACAATACTTTTTTTACCACGCTAGTTAAAGCGGGTTGATGAATGAAGTGGTCCGGTTCTGATATCGCTTCAACGGCTAGTGTTAGCCGTGGCCAGGGTTCTAACTCTACCAATAATACATTGAACATCGGTGCCGTGCGTTGGTTCAACGGTTCCAACCACATGGCCAATGTTGGGTCCAACGTGTCATTGTTAACTGGGTGACGAGATATCCGTGGAACTGTGCGCTAACCGATTGCTCCACGGCCTTCGCCATACAATCAAACACTCCACACCGGTATACATAATTTACACTTGTCGTTATGTCGTTATCTCCCTCATTAACATCGGTCTCCATTCGACTAAAATTCGACTTGACGGCATTTATACACGTAAAAAAATACAATTACATCCACGCAATATGTACAGCCCACAGACAATACGCACCTGAGGACCCAGTGCCGACGCCGAACGAAAAAGAAGTGAAACAGGTTCACGTTGCAATCCCATCAACTGAAGTACAATGCATTTTTGCGCGAATAATTTTTAACTGAACACACGTGCATCATTAAAGAGTAAACGCTACATAGGTGTATAACATTCCGAGACGGACACTATTGTACCGGTGGAACTCATTGATAACGGCACCACACAAACACTCAAAACCGAACGCCGCTGTTACCAAAGTCCAAACGCAAGCACCATTGTGACTAAGCACGCGAATGTAAAACATATACCAACGACAGTGTACATGAGAGAGAGAAAAATAATCACACTTGCCGAGCACAAGTTAAAAAAGAGGCCAAGCGTTGAACACGGTTCTGGAATTGAACGAGGTGAGCAAAGTTTGTGAAAGGGGCGAAGCGATGGGAGGAGGGCGTTGTGCAGTGGTGTGCGAGGTCGGGAAGCAGGCGAGCACAGGTCCACAGGGATGGGTGTTTTTGTTGTGTTGTTGTAATGCGCGGAAGGTGTGTTGGTGGCCGAACACGGCATGGGCGACACGGAATTTGTCCTCATTTATTTTACATTTACAAGAGATCACTTTCGTGCACACCTTTCACACATCACCGGAAACATGTTACAAGACACGTGTCTGTAACATGAGGACACATTCCGTGTCGCCCATGCCGTGTTCGGCCACCAACACACCTTCCGCGCATTACAACAACACAACAAAAACACCCATCCCTGTGGACCTGTGCTCGCCTGCTTCCCGACCTCGCACACCACTGAGTCTCGCTCCCTTCACCTGATGAAGGCCGCTTGTGTTGTGGCCGAAACGTCGTGAGAATATTATTGTGTTATTTTATTTTATCAATTTATTATTTTATTCTCATTCTACGTGACTTTACCGAAAGAACCAAAGAAGATGAATCATTGCAGTCACGAAAGCTTTAAATCGAAATTTAACATATTACGTCCTTTAAGAAAAAAATACGAATACCTGGGTTTGCCTCCTCGGTTAAGTATAATCCTGTGGATGTTTCTACGCCGTTATCTGTTAATGAGGTTAGTTATCAACTCTTGTCTACACATTACTCACCGCGGCTAGCGACACAGCATAGCCCGTGTGGAAATTAACTCTTGCCTTGGCCCACCTTCGCCGGGCGTCGTTTAAAGGCCCAGGCCACGTCACTTAGCAGGTCTCCGATTGGGCCACGAATTCATTTGGGGATATTTTTTCTCGTTCAAAGGATTTCTGATCGGCCAATCCGAGACGCGCATCTCTGAGACGACGCAGACACACCTTGAACACGCGGGCTGCCGTGGGCACGAGCTGGAGGTCCATCAAAGATAGGAATATTCATGTATGACGATGGGAGGGGGGGCGATAGGACGTTGGTGGCTTCTTTGAAATTAACGGAGCTCACAGAGACTTTGATGTTGAGAGACGTTTAAGAGAGCGGATACTACAACACGACAAAGTTCAAAGTGGAGTCATTTGCATTAGCAAACATTCACCTGCACATTCGGTCCACTGCTCAGGACGAGGGCCTCCACACGCCGTGCTGGTCTTGGGGGGTATTTGACTGGACTACGCTGCGCTGGTCACAGTGATGGTTGGTGTAGGCGGGAGAGAGCATGGAAGTACAGTACAATAAAAGGATGTTGCTGTAATGCCCTCTGCAGCCCACTATGCATCCACGGAGTTGCCTATAATCACCTACAGTTCTTCATGCAGACTCCAGCCTGCTTAGCTTACGAGAATGTGACGAAATTGGGCGAATCATGGGTGATGATCGCGTAGGCTTAACGTGATTAACGTGAACCCTATTTTTAGTGTAATCGCGATTTCTATACTTTGGCACTATATGATAATTGGGCATATAGTGCAAAACACCTCCATTACGATGATTAGTTTGATGATAAGCGACACAACACAATCTACTAAAACTGTAATCTATTTTTATTTTACCAGGTAAGGCCCACTGAGATTATATAGCTTTGGCCACAAATGATAGCTCAAAGAAGTGACTTATCTTCTGGAAATGTATAGCAGCCAAATACGTTTAGAATCAACGCCTGACGTTGAAACGCGTAACGTTGATTATAAATGTGCAGGGAAAAACCAGAAGACCCGGAGAAAAATCCACCCAACCACGCGGAATGAGAAATACGCAAACTCTAAATATACAGGCGCCGTCAGGGTCGGGATCGAACCCATGGCCGCTTGTATACCAGACGAGGTAGATAAAATCTCACCACCGGGACGTCCTTATACCGCGTCTAAATACTACCGTAAATCCCAAGACAATTCACACACAAGGCTTTGCTTAAAAGGAAAATAAGTAACAAATCACCGCGTTGAAAACATCGCCTGCTCTACACACCGTATATGTTCCTTTTAGGGCAAGGGTTATTGGCGAAAGTGTGGAGTTTTGTTATTTGTGCTCGTTCGCCCACTTGCCAACGCAATTTCACAAAAGAAAGCCCACAATCAGATAAAAGCATCCCAGACACTGCCCTCACATTCCATCACCCCGTCGGCTCCTGCCGGGCTATTAGCAAATGAGAAGTGACGCAGGCTACAAATTGAGTAAGCCACACCCCGTCTGGCTGGCTACTCCGCGTTATCAGCGCCAAGCGGAATATGCACTTAATTCTTATCATGAGCAATTCATTCTTGCCACGAGCAATTCATTCTTTCCACCAGAAATGCATTCTTGCAATGAGCAATTCATTATTATAACGAGCAATTCATTTTTACCACGGACAATTCATTCTCGCCACGAGCAATTAATGATTACCACGAGCAGTTAATTCTTACCATGAGCAGTTAATTCTTACCACGAGAAATTCATTCTTACCACGAGCAATTTATTCTTACCACGAGCAATTCATTCTTACCACGAGCAATTTATTCTTGCCACGAGCAATTCATTCTTACCACGAGCAATTCATTCTTACCACGAGCAATTTATTCTTGCCACGAGCAATTCATTCTTACCACGAGCAATTCATTCTTACCACGAGCAATTTATTCTTACCACGAGCAGTTAATTCTTACCATGAGCAGTTAATTCTTACCACGAGAAATTCATTCTTACCACGAGCAATTTATTCTTACCACGAGCAATTCATTCTTACCACGAGCAATTTATTCTTGCCACGAGCAATTCATTCTTACCACGAGCAGTTCATTCTTACCACGATCAATTCATTCTTACCACGAGCAATTCATTCTTACCACGAGCAGTTCATTCTTACCACGAGCAATTCATTCTTACCACGAGCAATTCATTCTTACCACGAGCAATTCATTCTTACCACGAGCAATTTATTCTTGCCACGAGCAATTCATTCTTACCACGAGCAGTTTATTCTTACCACGAGCAATTCATTCTTACCACGAGCAGTTCATTCTTACCACGAGCAATTTATTCTTACCACGAGTAGTTAATTATTACCAAGAGCAATTCATTCTTACCACGAGCAATTCATTCTTACCACTAGCAATTCATTCTTAGCACGAGCAATTTATTCTTACCACGAGTAGTTAATTGTTACCAAGAGCAATTCATTCTTGCCATGAGCAATTCATTTTATTCCACGAGCAATTAATTATTACCACGAGCAATTGACTGTTGCCACGAGAAATGCATTCTTGCCACAAGTCCTGCCCAACGAGGCCCGCTTACTTTTCAATAATGAATGAGGGCAAGATGATCAATAGATGATCAATACCAATGACGGATTGGAGCCAAGGAACGGAACGCGACCCTTGCTCTATACCGAGGAGGTATTGATCGGGGAGCCACCGACGAGTGCGCCATCCATGCATATCTTGGTGGTATCACTGCAATCCATGCAGCATCTACTGCCACCTTGGATTGGTTGAAGAACCTTAACATTCAACTATGACATCTATACAAACATCGTTGCTTACAATGCCGTGCTATAGAAGAAGGTGGGCCAGCAAATTGCGGCTCTGGAGCCCCATGCGGTGGCTCTTTTGCTCTTCCCTTGCGGCTCTTCGGCTGCTCGCCCTTGCCTAAATCTTAAACATGATTTAACGTAAAGATAATTTATTACATATGGCAGGGAATGGGGTCACTTTGGAACGTCTTGGTGACAACAAAATGCACGGCAGTCAAACTGTGTTACTCTTTGGTTCTTTTGGTAAAGTCAAGTAGAAAGAAAATTAATTAATAGAGTACGACGTTTCGATTGCAACACAAGCAACCGTCATCAGGTAGAACTAGATTTGAGAGAGAGGCGAAACGGAGACATACAGACAAACACAAGCAGAGAGAGACACAACATAGACACACAGAAACCCAATGCCTCTGTGTCGAGGCCTTAAATAGAGAGAGAGGGGGGTGGGGCAGAGAGAGAGAGGTGGGTCTGCTGGGGCAGCTGCTGGAGCAGAGAAATTAGCATGTCAATGAATCCACCCCGAAGCGACCGAGGGAAAGAAGATCGAATAGCCCTATGAGAGCCGTGGTTAATTTATAGAGAGAGAAATATTTTTGAGAAAACAAAATTTAGCAAATCTTTTGGAAATGTAATGTAATGCAACACAGATAGTCGGCTAACACACAGTTCACGCATAGCCTGGTTGATAACGATCTCCAAAGATTACTAAAATTAGAAGTTAAGTGTGAAATTTGACAGAGACACATAGAGAGAGAGAGAAAACAACTTACATCCTCCCCGTCAAGGTGGTTCAAACTTGATTTGAAGCTTTCGTGACTGCAGGAATTACTCTTTGGTGCTTTCGGTAAAGTCACGTAGAAAGAAAATAAATTAAATAATATAGTGGATTTCCACACATCTCTATGTGTGTCTGTCAAATTTCACACTTAACTTCTAATTTTAGCAATCTTTAGAGATCGTAATCAACCAGGCTATGCGTTAACTGTGTGTTAGAATGTGTTTGTCATCTTGCTGTATACCTGCTGCCTTGTTTGTGTACACAGCTTTGCGCGAGTGATGCGGCTCTCCAACTATGTTGGTCAAGGACGAAAACAAAGGAAAAAAATGCCTCTTCTTCTTCTTTGAAAGGTTGCCGACCCCTGGTATTGAGCGATAATTTCAAGGTCGTGTGCAGGTGTTAGGTGGAGCATTACGCGAGGGATGGCGACGGTTTCAGGAGGTCACCATCCATCGATGGATAGGTCATGGCTGATTATGATGCACATTCAACACGACACACCCGCACGCACAATACAAACGAGACAATTAAAAACGGAACAAAATCATCCCAGTCTGGTATCGAATCGTGACCCCGAATAAGGGCAGTTCATGACATCGCTGCTAGAGTATTATCTGGCCGCTCTATGAATGTGCTGTGAAGAATGGTCATTGCCCGAAACGTCACCTCTAATATGTTTAAGGCAGTGCTGTTGATTAATGTGTTGCGTTACATTGTCAATGTGCTTGTGCACCGCTGCCACCACACGTTTGTTTCTATTACGAGTGTTGTACCCAATGGGCTCACATCCCCACAGGAGCCACTCGAGGCGTTTGAATTCATCAATGGACTCCCACCTTTTGACGATTCAACGTTTGCAATTCGATTCACGATTCAATTATTTTTTACGTGGTGCCGTGGTGGCGAGGTGTTAACTACCTCTCCTGATACACAAGAGATAGTGGGTTCGATCTCGACCCTGACGCCCTTGGTCACATGTATTTTTCTCCAGGACCTCTGATTTTTCCCTCCACATTT